TTGATATAATTCTGCAGGACAAGCCCCAAGCCATAGCTTCTGCATGGACTGGTTTTTGGTATTCAGCATTGTTCAGTGATTACAAGTTTTACGAATGCTTCATGTCCTAGAAGCACAATGGGTTCAACCTGGAGCTAACTAAGCGACTCAAAGAACCAAAACCCCAGAGCTCCCTGGCTGGGCGGCCAGCAAGTGGAGCCTGGTGCCAAATGGTGCACTGGCTGCCAGGGACAGCTCACCACGAGCACATGGTGGCTGTCTTCTGGAATCCAGGCATGAGATGCCCTGTCCTGCGACCCACCAGCAGCCTCCCGGCTGCTGGAAGTTTAAACTCTCAGGCCCAAGGTCACGCCCAAGATGTCTTTTTAAAACTTTATTTTTGAAAATATTGTTTACTACCCATTTGGGCCTCCTATCATGTGGGGAAGGTCAGGTACACAGGAAAGTGGGTGCAACAAAAAATTTTTTTTCTCTTGTGTCTGCAGGGAAGAGGGGGAGGGGGCTGATCCTTACTGTCAAACTACATCAGCACCTAGGGATGGGGGATGTCTTAGAGATCCCAATGTGGGGTGTTACTGAGGGTGTTACATGAGTGGTTTTGGCAGTTCTGAGAGGTTGTTGGTTTCACTGCTCCAGGTTTGAGAAAATCTTTCCAAGGTCTGCTGGTTTCTGCATCCAGAGACTTAGGAACATGCTGCAAAGCTTAACCAGGAGAATTGTCCAACTTGTCTGCTTTCCAGCCTCCGGCAAGGCATCAGCATCCCCTGCTGGCTTAGATAAGCTGGCCTTCATGTCCTTGTGCATCTGGGTGTGCTGTCCATTGCACAGGCATCAGCAACTGAGGAGGCTCAACCCCAGTACTTACAATCCAAGGTCAGACAAAACATCTGACTTTTTTCCCTGTGATTGGGGTCTGAGTCCAGCAGTCTAGTTGGGAAGTTCCCCAAGAAACCTTGCCAAGGGTGACCTCAGATTTGACTCTTTTGTGTCATGAGTGCAGAATCAGGTTCGGTCTGTCACCTGCACCAGGCTGTGCACATACCACTGGAAGCAGGTGCTTGGATCAGTTCTGCCTCAGCTCTGTATCTCAAGCAAACCAACAGGTGCTGCCCGGCCCAGCCAGCCTGCCACAGACTTGGTCCTCACACATACCAGAGGGTGCCATGGCACAGTTGGGGCAACCCCTTATAATCCCCAACAGACCTGCCCCCAGCCCTGGTTTTTGGTGTGCCATCCTCTGCTGCAGACTAATCCATCTCAGTCTGCATCCCATTAGGCTCTGGTAAACTAAATGGATGCTGCTGGGTAGCTCAGCCCACTTGCCCCCAGACCAAGCCCACATTTAAGCTGACAGGTATGTCTCCTTGACCAGTGTGGCCAACCTCCAGCCCTAGTTCTTGTGCTCACCAGTGACAGGTACAGCCTAGCAGGGAAGTGCCCACAGTTCCCCTGCCAAGTATGCTCCTAGCTCTGGACCTTGCACCTGCCAATGGGTACTGTGGCCTACCCTGACATGATTCACACCCAGTCCTGGCACTTTCCAGCTAGTGCTATGGCCTAACCCAGCTGGCCTCCATGCCTGTTCTGGCTCTTGTGCACACCAGTGGGCTCAGTGGGCTAGGCAGCCTAGTCCTGCCTTGCCTGCCCCCAGACCAGTCTGCCCCTAGTCCCAGCTCTCAAGCTCACGGTAGTAGTATCCCAGCAAGAGAATCCCTGAAACTCCCCCTACTAGGCCCACTTCCAACCTGAGGTCCTGTGCATGCCTGCAGGTGCTGAGCCCATCTGAGATGGTCCACCCCTAGTCTTGGCATTTGTTAGCCCGTGCTACAGCTTGGCTCATTCTGGCCTGCCCCATCTCAGCTTTTACCAGGGGGTGTAGTATCCTAGCTCTCATGTGAACTGGCAGATGCTGCAGTCCAACCTGGCCTGTACTCATGCCAGTGTGTGCTGTGGACTGACCCTGTCTGGCCTACCCCCAGCCAGACCTGGCTCACATGTGTAGCAGTGGGTGCTGCAGCCCAGCCTGGTCTAAACTGCTCCCACCCCTTGATCCTAGTGTTCAACAGTAGGAGCTGTGACCAGCAGGGGAGCTCCCCAAGTTCCCTTAGTAGGTCCACTCCCACCAATGAATCTTGCATGTGCTGGTAGATGCTGATACATAGACTGACACAGCTGACGCTCACTGGTGGGTACTGCAGCCTAGCATGACTGGCCCACACCCACGCCAGCTCTCATCTATGGGTTTTACAGCCTAGTCTAGCATGTCCACCTCCAGTCCTGACACTCGTGTAATTCAGTGGCTGTTGTGGTCTAGCCCAGCCTGTCCCTCACCCATTCTAGCTCTTGTGAGTGCCAATGAATGCTGGAGTCTAGCCCAGTTTGGCATACACCCAGATCTAGCCCACATGCATGCCAATGGGTACTGTAGTCTTTGCCTAGCCTGGTATAAGCTCCCAGCAGTGGCAGCTGCAGCCAGGCATGGGAGTCCCCAAAGTTCCCTACCTGAATCTCTCACCTGCAGCTGGGTGCCATGGCCCTGCTTGGCGTGATCTGCCCTCAGTCTTGGCCTTTGCGTGTGTTGGCAAGTACTGCAGCCTGGCCCCACCCAGCCTCCTCGCAATCCGGTAGGAGTGTAGCCAGAGGTTGACTCTGTACCTGACTCTTTTTGCGTGTCAGCCAGTGCAGGGTCCGGCAAAGTCCATCATCTACATCATCCTATAATCTAGTGGTTATGTCACCCGGACAGTTCTGTCTCCAGCCCTGTCTCATAACACAAACCAAAGGATGCTGCGGCCCAGCTCAACAAGTGTGTGGGCGACCACACCAGGTCTGCCCCCAGCTCTGGTTCCTGCGCATGCCGGTGTGTGTAGCGGACTGGTCCAGTCTGTTCTGTGTGCCATTCAGCTCTCGTACACATCAGTAGGTGCTATAGCTACAGCCTAGCTCAGCCTGAGCAATTCCACTATGCAGCCTACACTTAGGCCTGTAGGTGCTACTGCCTGTCCAGCCTGGCCCACCCCAGCCCTGGTTCCCATGCTCACTGGTGGGAGTGGCAGTCCATCAGAGGGGTTCCCACAGTTTCCCTACTAGCTCACTGCCAGTTCCCAATCTTGCACTCTCCAGGTGGTTCTGCAGTCCAGTGTGACAGGATCTGCCCAGTGTGACATGGTCCACCTTGCCTTGGCATTTGCTGGCAGGTGCTGCAGCCTAGCCCAGCCTGGACAGCCCCCAATCCCAGCCCTAATACTATCAGGTGTTGCAGCCCAACACAGCCTATCCTGATCCCCTTCCTGGTTCTTAAAACTGCCAGAGTATGCTATGAACTGGCCCAGTGCAGCCTGTCCCCAGAGCTGAACCACACATACGTACTGTAACCTGGCCTGGTCTGGCCTGCCCTAGCCTTGGTTCTTTGCTCATCAGCAAGACCTGCATTCTGACAGGAGTTAACTCTGGGTTTTTCACATGCCTATATTACTTTGAGGTTATTTCCTATTTGATTATTTTTCCTTGTTTTTAATTGACAAAAACTATGCAGCATATAACATATTGCTTTAAAATACGCACACATTGTGGAATGGTTAAATTGAGATAATTGTGCATTGCTTTGCATGCTTGAAGCTTTTTGTTGGGGTGGTGGTGGTAAGGACCATTTGGGGTTTTGTCAGAGTTTTTGAATTGTGTCAAATGTCTTTCGGCAGCAGTTGTGGTCCTACCTCCTTTAGATATTGTGATGTCTTACACTAGTTGACTTTCATGTGTTGAACTATCCTTTCAATCCCCATGTAAGTCCCACTTGGTCATGGTGTATAATCCATTGAAGATGCTATTGAATTCACTTTGGTATTGTTTTGCTCAAGACTTTTGCAACAGTATCTGGTAGGAATATTTGGTGTTAGTTAATGCTTTGAATATTTAGTGAAGTCATCTGGTCTTGACTTTTTTGGGGGGAGCTTCTAAAATAATGATTAATCTCTTCTAGCTACATTCAATTTAGAATTTCTAGTTTCTCACAGTTCAACTATTAGATCATATGTTTCCAGGAACTTGCCCTTTTTATCTTCTTGTCTGGTGCAATGATGTAAAATTGTAGCCAGCACTCTCATAATCCTACTTATTTCTGTAAAATTGGTAGGGATTTCCCTTTCGGACTGAAGCCTTCTCTCTTTTTGTCAGTTTAGATAAAGGTTTGTCTATTTGGGTTATCTTTCCAAGGAGTCCATTCTTGGTCTTCATTGATTCTCTTCTATTTTTTATCTGTCCTAGTGCTTATTATTTCCTTCCTTCTACTTTTTGGCTTAGGTTTTTTTTCTTCTTTTTTGTGTTAGGTGTTAAGTTTGCCGATTAGAGAACTTTCTTTAATGTAAGCAGCCTTTAAATATAAGTTGGCTAACAGCTCCCCTCCCCTAATCCACAAAGGAAGGGACACGCTGGGCATGGCGAGTGGTACCACGGTCAGCAAGTCCTCTCCCTGACTCCTGGCTGCTCCCCTCTGCACCCCCTGTTCACTTCCTAGAGGAGACTCTGCGTTTCCACTCTTCACGTGGCTTCATCAGAGCAGCAGCATTTGAACAACAATGACCAATGAACAACTTGGTGAGCTTGACAAGGGAGCATTTCCTGGGAATGGGAACTGTAACCAGGGGTTGGCCTACACCCGTGCACTAAGGGCTTATTAATAAGCATGGAGACAGCCCAACCTTTGCATACTCTGTTCAGGCCCCTGTCCAATGGGGTTTGGACAGGGGCCTGAACAGAGTATGCATTCAATAGTGTTGACAAGCTTCAAGTTCAGGATAGTGGCAGGTGGTAGTGACTATCATAGGATGAGTGCAAACAGGTTTCCAAGTGATGTTCTCTGTGGACCCTTGGGGATCGCTGTGGAATCTCAAATACAGAGGAGGGCAATGCTTACGGGGGGGGGTGGGGGGGTGGGGGGGTAAGAAAATCCAAATAAAGCATAGTTTGCGTGTAAAAAAAAACAAAGCAAAACAATTCAAGGCTTTTGAAAAAAGCATCATTTATTTCAAAGTACAACACAAGGTTGTAGTTTTTAAGAAACACACATTTGATCTTGTATCTCAAGATGTGGTTATGTGCATTTCATCTTTAAAATAAATTCAGGTATACAAATGTTACATACCTCAAGTACAAACAGCACAGAAAATGCATATGGTCTCCACCGAACGGTGTTCCCTTAACTCACTGTTCTCATGTTGACTGACATTTCTGTAGTTTGCTTTTAAACCAAGACAGCCTTATTTAAAAAAATACTCTATTTTCAGCACAAAGTCCTCATACATTTTTAAAATTAGATCTTGGTGCATAATATTGTGAAATCATTAAAAACCAAATTTGGTAATTTGATAAAATTGTCACATGCCAGGACTTCTGAATCAACTCGAATTACTTCCTCAGCTGTAATGTCAAATTTGTGTTTAGACAGATAAAGCAAGGAAGAAGACAGGTGGTGGAGACGTGGTAACAGTTAAGGTTTTCAGATGAATAGGTCTTAAGAGTTTGTGGCTGAGTCCAGACTGTTTTCTAAAAGCACAACAGCAAATCTCATCATCATAATTGCAAAAAAGATCTGAAAGAAGCGAGTGGTGCAAGCCTGCCCTGCTTGAGTCTGTTTTGCAAAGATGAGGGTGGGTGGGGAGAGGGAAGTTACAGCAGAAAGAGCCGGAAAAAAGATGTCTCAAAACTGGCATATCATGATCCAGAGGAGGGGCCCTCATGTGTGCACGCATGTACACACACACACACACCTAAATTTAATTCTCATGAGGGAAATGTGAGTTAGACCAAGGGTCAGAGCTCCTTCTCCCGATTGTGGGGCTCCATATCCGCCACGGGTTGTAGGTCTGTGCCAGGTCGTCTGCTGGGCTGGAGGCAGATGCTGTGTGGGGAGCAGCTGAGTTTTCAGTGCCCATGAGGCCAATACTTGACAGTGTGTTCGCTGGAGTGGTGAAAGGGAGGGTGCTGTTGAGGGTGCTGGACCAAATGGAGTTGCTGAATGGAGTGGTGGACCACCAGCTGCTGGCATTGCCCAGGATGGACTGAAACAAAACAAACAGCTGGCATCAGCGTTCAGATGGGCTGGACCCCCGAGACAGAGCAACATCTGATACAGACAGGTAGCCCGGAGTCTGAGCAGCTGTTTTTGACGGTCTCAAGCTGAGCTGGCAAACCACAGCCAGCCGGTCTATAAATGCAAGTGGTACTGGATCACCACCATGCCCTCCTCACCCTGTCTGGCACCAAGGCACTCCAATGGCAGAGCCCAGGGGCAGCCTGAGAAGAAGGTCTGCCTCTGTGACTGCTGACAGGAAGGGGCCTGACTCCCATCTTCAAGGATGGATTCTGTGCTTTAGCATCCAAATGAAGACAAACTTAGGAATATAGGGAAGTGAAAATTTAGGAAGTTTCCTGAAAACAAAGGAAAAAATCACACTAGAGCCTATCTTTGTCAAAATTGTGCAAAACGCTAATACCATTATTTTCCTTAATAAGAATTTTTCTGATCCTGTTGTGATGGCTCAGTGGCTAAATCCTTGCCTTGCATGCACTGGGATCCAGTGGGTTCTGGTTTGTGTCCTAGCAGCCCCATTTCCCATCCAGCTCCCTGCTTGTGGCCTGGGAAAGTAGTCAAGACGGCCCAAAGCCTTGGGACCCTGCCTGGGAGACCTGGAAGAAGTTCCTGGCTTTGGATCGGCACCATTCCAGCTGCTATGGCCACTTGGGGAGTGAACCACCAAGTGGATCTTTCTGTCTCTCCTCTCCGTATCTGCCGTTCCAATAAAAACGAATAAATCTTAAAAATTTTTTTCCCTTGGAGGATAAGCTCTGCAAAAGCCTGAGCTGAGAAGCAAACAAATTCATGCTAGGAAAACGCAAGCTGAGATGGGGTTCTCAGAAGTAAGTGTCACCTCCCCACTGGCTTCCAGGCAGCCAGTCTGTGGTCTCATTCACAGGCCCAGAAGAGGCTGAAAGTGACCTTGTCCTACAGGGAGAGTCCAGACTCCCACCATGACTGCTCAGGTGCTCTTCCGAAAATACCCTGCCCCACAGCTTCGAGCAGTACAGATAGCTTATTCAGGCAGACATGAGGACAAGCCATGGGGATAATATTTGGACTAGGCACCCCCCTAAGTAACAGTCATGGCAGAGATGATGATTGGGTGGGTTAGGACCCAAGTACTCACAGTGGCTGTGTGGGTCGGGGAGCTGGAACTGGCTGGCCAGGAAGGGCTGGAGTCTGTCACCGGAGAGTCCCAGAGGTAGGAAGGGCCACTGTTAAACTCACTCCAGCTCCTCTGTGAGGCCTGATTGCATGACCGAGATAAGCCAAGCTTGCTGAAAACTTCTGGAAATAAGGAAAAAGCCATCAGGTCCATAATGTTGAGCCAAGAAGCTTAGGTCAAGAGACAGGGAGCCCCCTGAGGAACATAGCCCACGGCTGCTCATGTGAGTAGGGGCGGCCCCAGAACTCAGCATATATCTTAATACTTCACCCACACCCATCCCTGCGTGGCACAAAATGTGAAAGTTCCCCACCTCCAATGCCCCAGCTTTACACAGCTAAGCAGCACTCACCGTCATTACTGACTGGACGGCAAGAGGGAAAGGCAGGTGCCCTGCCAACCTCAGGAGTCATTTCAGGGCAGAACCCTTTCTGGGGTCCACACCACAGGCTTTGTGCACAGCCTGGGGCAGGTGGTGTGGGTGAGGGGACAGGATGGGAACCCTATCCAGGGAGTTACTTGCCTGCTCCTCCCAGGTGGGGTTAGGGCTCCTGAGAATCTTGGAGAGCACGGAGCCTGCTCCCTTCCTCTCAGCTTGCCACCCCTAGTGGCAGGCGTGTGACAGCAAGTCACAGTACTGTCCCCTTGCAGCAGTGTGCGCCCCTCTGCAACAGCATGTCTCTGGCTCCTACCCACACCGCCGCCCCTCTGTCCACGGGCTGATTAGTTACAGGGCCAGCATTCACACTCACCACCAGTTAGGTTAAAAGAATTTCCGAAGGCCGAGAATGAATTGAGGGGTGTGAAGTCGGGGCTGCTTGGGTTGCTGACAGGGCTCCACAAACCCGAGCTAAATGTCCCAGGGGAAAATGCAACACAGAACACAGAGATGTACACTGGTTAGTGAAAATGAAATGGAAATGCCTCCGGGCACAGCTGGGGTACTCGGTCAAACCAAAGACAGAAGGAAGAACTGGGCTGAGCCGCTGGACCAGGACTGAGGCACAGAGCCTCGAGCTCCGCACCACTGTCACCACCAGCCTGGCTCAAAGAAACTGTCTCATCTGGAGAAAGCCCAGCATTGCTGCCTGCTCCAAACCTGCCACTCATGCCCCGAGTGCTTTACTGGTCAGCTCACTGTCAATGTTTCTCTGGGATTTGCTCCCAAATGTGTACCTCCATCTCTAATGAGCAGCTCACAGCCCTTCCCAACTGGGACTGTGTTGATGGAGAACGAGCCCACCCCGCTCTACCAGGGGAGGACCAGCAAGTGGCTCTCTGCAGCCTGCACCCTCCTCTCCTCTTGCTTTGCTAACCTGTCGTCATGTCTGGGTCCCCAGTGGGCAAGGAGAGTCTATTGTACCTGTCTGAGCCGTCACTGTCCACCGGAATGTGTGATATGCCAAGGCTACTGGGGAAATCTGTTTTGTTTGAAGAAACTTTAGAAAAGCCATTTCCACCTGAAATAAGGGGCTCAAGTCAGTCAAAGATCATTTCTCACCCCTTGCTGCCCAGGTGGGACAGGGCCTGGCAGCACAGTCCCCGTGGCACTCACCGGGGCTCTTGTCATAACCAGCTGTGACAGCAGCAAAGGTGGGGTTGCCGTTCTTCCCAGGAAGTGAGGCTGCTTTTGTCAATTTGTGCTTGCTTCCGGTTGGCTGCTTTGTTTTAGGGTCACTTGAAAGAAGGAGCAGAATGAGAGCTTACTCCTGGTTGCTGGGGCCCACTGGAAGCTGCTGGGGCACACACCTTGGGACATGGGGGCCCAGGGGCCTGAGCCCTGCATGTGCTTCTGGTTCCAAGACTATCCACTCAGAGAAACCTGGGAGTTCTGAGGAAAGGATGAAAATAAAAGGCCACAAGGAGAGGGCAGGGACCACAATCTGGCAAAGGCTGGGCTGGCATTTTAAAGAAGAGCACTAGGAAGAGAGCAGTGGGGCAGGGAACATGGAGTTAGAACCCAGCCTGTGTGGCTGCACCCACTCCCAGGACTGGGCACAGGCTCCCTACAGCAGGGTGGCTTCCCTCAGTTCTGGCTACTGTCTCTTTTGACAACCATGGGATAACCCAGTCACAGTACAGAGACCGTGGTGTCCCAGGGTGAGGGCATCTCTGCGATGGTTCCTTTGCCACCTGAGTGGACTGCATCTGACCTGTCCTGAGTACTCATGCCATCTGCACAGCCCAGCATGCGGCAGCCAGTCTTGTTCTAGATTCTACTATCTTAGCCAAAGTCAGACTAAATGTCCCCTCGCCCCATCTGTCTAACAGCACATTTCCTGAGGTCTTAATTAGCAGGTACACCGACTCAAGTTGAAAGCATGATTCTGGTAAGCTAGATGACAAGCCAGATAACACATCTCAGTCCATGAGTGATAAGAAGAAACAGAGAGAATCCGGTCACTGCAGTGGTTAGGATAAATGTAGTGACGGAATGGACCAACTGCCCTTGAAGAGGCCAAGTAGCTGCCATACGGTGACAGTCTGGGACTAGTAAGTGTAAAGGGAGTGACATGAGGCCAAGAGGGAGCCCTGGGCTGGGGAGCAGGAGGAGACAGTGGCGCACCTGCTGGAGCTGCTGTTGACAATGCTGCTGTAACTGCCCCGGGATGCAAACGGGCAGGGGGCAGCCGGGGGAGATGGAGAGGCAGGTGTTGGTGAGGTCTGGCGTTGTTTCAAGAAAATGTCTGCGTTGAGTGTTTGCAGAGAAAGTTTATAAAGACTATCAGTAGCTGCAAGTGAAAAACAAAAGGTCTCATTAGTAAGGACTTTCTGTTACACACTTTTCACAACCAGTTTCCTGATGATCTGAGACATGTGCAGATCTAAAGTCCTCTACAAAGCAAACAAAGCACTGTGTGTATTCTATATGTTTAAAGTTTTAAGGAAACCCAGGGGAGTCGCATCTCTGCTCAGGGCTTTGAGGGGGCAGCACAACACCTCCCTGGTGTTGTGTCCTCTGGCGTGAGTAGCTGAAGCCACTGGCTGGAGACCTGAAGGAATCTGTGCCCACACCCGCGGCTATAGGCCGTGCAGGATGTGGGTGTGTTCAAGGTCACCTCCTTGTAAAACAAACCAGAGCTTCACAGAGACAGGTGTCCTTGTGCTCACAGGACAGAGGTGCCCAGCTGCACTTGCCACAGCTGGTATTCCAGCTGTCTTGGTAAACAACAGTCCTGATGGGAGCTGCTGCACGTTTCTCTCCCACTTGGCTAGTTTCAAACCACAGCAGTTTCGCACAGCCTATACCATGCGACAGTGGGCTCTTGCTGGCCGTTAGGAATTGGTTCCTGCAGACCATGGAGGGTGAGTTTTTGTGAGAGCAGGACAGGCAGGGGTAAGGGATGCAGTTGCTAGATCACCGTACTTACAGCTGCCAGGTTTGTGAACGGGCACGGAATCCCACTCGGGTGGAGGAGAGTCTTTTTCACCCTCTGAGCTACTGGTGTTGCCTAGTTCTTGACTATTTGGGAGGAATTTGGCTAGGGCAGGTGGCCTATCCACCAATTTATTTGTACCTGTAGAAAATCAGAAAAAGTTCTTAGAACAACTCCCTTCTTTCAGGTCTATTCCAATGAAACTTCTAGTGCCATAGCCTTATGTGACCAGTAACAAAAACTAATACAAGGAAACACAAGAACATCTTAGGACCAGAATAACAGTACCTTTTGTTTTCTGGGAATTTCGTGATTTGGATCCACTTGTTAATGCAGTTGGGAGAGCAATTTTGGTTGGGAGATTTCTACGTTGCTTACTTTCCAATGGAGGAGTATAGGATAATTCTAAAGAACTGAAAAATAATCACGTAAGGGAAACACCATTACTCCTTTTTGGAGGACAGGGTAGTAAAGATCTTTAATACCTAAACTCCACAGGTCTCACTACAGGGCTTCAAGGCCTGATCGCCCTCCAGCCTCGGGCCTGGCTGCACCCCAAACAGCCCTTGCAGGCTTGAGCCCTGCTGCTCTCCACTCTGACAGGGACTGGGGCCTGACTGGAGTAGCTGGGAATGCCTGCCTCACACAGGTATATAAAGCCCTGAGTTCAGACTTACTGTCCATGGTCATCCTACTGGTGTGAGCTTCGCCTGCATCAGACTATCAACACAACTCCTGAATATGCAGATTTTCAAAGGGCTGGGATGTTCTAATCAAAACCCAAAACAGTTTTCCAAGCTACAACATGAAAAAGGTTGAGTCCCTGGGTTATACCTACAGCAAACCTATGTAACCCACTTTTCTTCTTAAATTCAGGTTAACCCTTGGCAAAAAATGTAAATATGCTAATTGACTTAAAAGCATTTATTCTTTCTTAAAGATAATATGTATAACTAGGACAATTCACTGAACTTTCTCACAGCTAAGGCACAACAGGAGCCTGGGGGGCTGCTTTAAATTTTCACAGCCTGGAGAAGAAAAAGGTACTGGGAAGATCACCAAGAATGATTGGGGGAGGGGCCCAGCGCGAATCCAGCTCCCTGCCTGTGGCCTGGGAACACAGTCAAGGACGGCCCAAAGCCTTGGAACCCTGCACCTGCATGGGACACCCAGAAGAGGTTCCTGGTTCCCGGCTTTGGATCAGTGCAGCACCGGCCGTTGCGCTCACTTGGGGAGTGAATTACCAGACGGAAGATCTTCCTCTCTGTCTCTCCTCCTCTCTGTATATCTGACTTTGTAATAAAAATAAATAAATCTTAAAAAAAAAAGAACTAATTCGCTTTAAGAGAAAAGGTAACCAATAACTGTCTTACTTTCGCCCTAAATTATGTCAGATGGTCTTGTATCAAGAAAGCTTTTTTTAGCTTATTTAAAATGGGTAAGAGCTAGTGTAACTGAAGTGATTCTTTCTAAAAACAGAGGGATGGTTCAGATGCTAGATCCTGTTTTTGAGGCCATCTGAAGCAAGCAGGGTGGAAGGGTCTGGGCTGGTGTGTGCGATGTCTCCATGGCCCTGGGCTCAGGGCTGAGCCTGCTACTCAAGCACATTATCACAGGGAATGAATGTATGCTTTCTGCTAAGCCTGTTTTGCTTATTTTGGATTGTTACAGAAGCATGAAAAGTGCTGATGAGCAGATGGGAGGACAAGGGTCAATGTGGAGTTGGTGCTGCACCCAGTGATGCCTGGGCCTTGTCTGGCTCTGCAGAAACTACTGTGTGCCTGAACTCCACCTGCTATCCTGTCCCCAACATCTGAGTTCAAATACAATCTCCTGGGCACACTGCAGGTCACTATTACAGTGTTAGAGCCTGGAGAACTCTGATTCCGCAGCTCTGTGCCCACTCCGAGGAGGGCACTCTTCTGAAGTCATCCCATGTGAGTGGGTAGGGTGCAGCTGTTCTGTAGACCATGTCTAAACCAGCCCTCCACTGTCAGCTCCCATAAAACTTCCAAAACAAAGTGATGACCACTATCTTATTAATGGTACCTCTTTCTTTTAAAATTTGCATAATTCTCTTCAAGTCTATGTAATGTTCACACACTGCAGGCATCTATTAATAGTGGACTTGGCATTGTAGGTTCCACTAATGCTATGCCTCTGCCTTAAGGGCAGCACAAGGCAATTTCTATCATAACCCAGGGAGACAGGAAATGGCTGTATCCTGAGGAAACCTTTGCTTATTAGGAAAAGAACCATTAGTGTTTATTTAACTTCATATCTGACTGGTAGACTACTGAATTCTGACTGCTATGTCCAAGTTCAGAAAAACAAAATAAGAGCAGTGAGACTGAGGTTGTATAAGGATTTTCTCCAATTACAAAGGGACTTTAAAAGACAATTCTGAGCACACTACCTGAACCATCTTTGGGTGCTGACCTCTCTCTCTTAACAACACATCCAGAGGAAGTTACTGCTGTAACTGCCCCTTGATTTGGCAAGTGTCAAATGGACCACTCCAGCTTGTTTTATCTGAGAATTCAGAATCCTGGTACAGGTAGTGGTGTTCACGTCTTTGAGAGACTCATCAAATTCCAACCTGTCAGTGATCCACTTCATGAAAAAGAGTACAGGGACATCAGGGAAGTGGGATAAGGGCAGCGTTAACGTGTTCCACTTCCTTAAAAGTATTCTTAGGGTCAGGGCTAACATACACTCACCCATGGAGTGGTATGGATAGGATAATTCTTAGAAGCACTAGTTTTAAAATTTGTAACCTTAAGAATTTTTGCAATTTTTCATAAACTTGGACTTAGTAGCTTCACTGAGGCCTGGAAACAGCCCAGGACACTCGTCCCTGGCCACCAGACCAGCACCACTCCTTCTGGGTGCTGGGACTTAGCACCCCACATAGTAGCTCATGCTGATACCTCCAGAAACATCCCCTCTCTGGAAGGTGGGGGATTGCTCGCTCTCCTTCAAAAAGGATGTTTTGTACTTCTCCGCCTGACATTCCTTCAATTGGGCTGGATGGTTCTCAGTTAATGGTAGAATCAGGATACTACAGTGTCCACAGAAGAGTACATCACTAAACTGCCTGAAGTCACAAGCTCAGGGCAAGGTTACGTGTAGGTGCCCATTAGCTTCTGGTTCCACAGAACAGGACTGGCCCTGAGTTAACTGTATAATATAGGCCTTAAGAGTAAGTTCTGCTTTTGCAAGGCCAAAGAATTATTTTTAGATCTGAGTAATGAGACTTGCCACAAACCTAGGGCTAAATTGAATAATGACAATTGAGCTATGAATTCCATTTGCACCTACTTGCTTTAACTGCTGGGCTTACGTTCCACCTCCACACTGATGGCTATTTGAGATGAATTAGAAAAGGCCTCCTTCGTGTTACTTACATAAGGCCTAATGTGAACAGGAAGCAATCTTCCTAACTATTCATTTCCTTGGGGGATCATTCTGCAGCAAACCTTCCTGGGAAGGCTCACCTGACTGTGGTCCCATGGGGACACACCTGAAGTTACTTCATAATCGGTGACACTGCCACTGAATTTTTTCTTCCTTTTTTTTTTTTTAAAGAATACACCTTTCCAAGTTTCCTGGCACACAACTCTAGATCCCAGCTGTAATTCTGAGTTAGTGACTCAACAGAGCCCTTTCTGAGAAAAGCCAGGCTCAACCTTAGGCAGATGTGACATGGCTTTGCCTGTGAACAAATCATGAACCCAAAGCCACAAAACATGACAGTAAGTCTACCCTCTGACCTCGGAAGCATGTGGCTATCCCCAACTGCTAACTGAATGCTACACATTAGGACAAAGCCATGACTTCTATACAACCCCACAGAAAGCCAACCCAACCTAACGAATGCACAGCCCGAGTGCTGCCAGGAACTCCTCTTATTTCTCCACACTCATTTACTTTTCTTACCTGGGTTTCACATCTGTTGGGATTTCTTTCTTAGAATTTAAGAGTTTTTTGCTTTTCTGCTTCACTTGAGACATTTCATTTTCATGTTTTTCAGGCATGGCTTGTTTTCCCTTTTGCTTTTCTGTATCCTGCTTTTAAAAAAAAATGTATACTTCATTGCTGAGCAGTAACAAACATCACTGAAAATGGCCTCATTTGAAGACACAACTTAAGACCTAACAAATATATACATCTTATGTGCAGAAACACAAACTCCTTTCTCCAAATCAAACTTTACTGTGGCTTTCTTACAGCTGCCTTTAATTTTTTATAAATAGCTTTATAATGTTATAAAAATGTGCTTTTGGAAGCCAGCATAGTGACACCGCCAGTAAAGCTGCTATCTGTGACATGGGTATTCCATATGGGTGTTATTCCAGGTTATTCTATTTCCAGTCCAGCTCCCTGCTAAAGCCCTGGGAAAGGCAGCAGTGGACGACCCACATGCTTGGGTCCCTGCATCCACGGGGAGACCTGAAAGAAGCTCCTGCCTCTAGTCTGGCACAGCCCTGGCCACTACATCCATTTGTATCTGTGCTGTCAAAGCAAGCACTACTACATCTATTTGGGGAGTAAGGCAGAGATTGGAGGATCTTTAAGTCTGACTCTCAAATAAATATTCAACAAGACTGGTAGTGTTTTAGGTGCTGAGGAGTAAAACTTGAGTTTTTCATGCAGAATTTCTTGAATTATTTTCTGTTGTCATCCAAGCAACTTGGCCTGGCCCTCAGGTGCTCCACTGTGAGGGCAGGACTGGCTGGCAAAAACATACAAGGAAAACCTAGGAGCTGGATAGTGGTGCAGGTTACTGCCTGCAAGGGCTGGCATTCTGCATTGGAGCACAGGTCTGAGTCCCAGCTACTCTACATTCAGTCCAGATCCCTGCTAATGTGCCTGGCAAAAAAGCAGTACAAGATGGCCCAACTGTCTGGTCCCCTGCTACCCTCATGGGAGATGTAGATGAAATTTCAGGTTTGGGCTTTGGCAGCATCCAGTCCTGGTCATTCTTGCCATCTGTGAAGTGAACTATTGGACTGAAATTTCTGTCACTCTGCCTTTCAAATAAATAAATAAATCTTAAAATGTTTCGTGGAGTCTGTCATCTAGTTGGGGTAGGGGGAGTACATCTAACTGGCAAAATGAGACCATTTATAAAGAAGTAAGCACACAGACTCTGCACAAGGGTGCAGCAGGAGGAGCAGAAACTCCTGGGCTCAGGGGCCTCATGGGGCTAAGCTCTTAGAGGTCGGAATGATGCCCCAGGACACTGGCAAATGGGGTCTGGCAGAGGCAGGCCCCGAGGCGCGGCCCTGAGGAAAGCCGGTGCTGAGGCTTTCCTGTTGCTGTTCACAGGGTTCACACCAGGGGTCGCCACTCAAAGAGATGAGCAGCAGGCCTCTGCTTCTCCAAAGGCATGTTAGAACACAGATGCAGCCTAGTTCTGAAATGAACCACAGGGAGGCCGCACAGCATGCCACCTCTCGGAGTGGGAGCAGGAGACGTGAAAAGTGACAGGTTTACTGTAAAAATTGTAATGCATGTAGAAATAATGCTGACTGTCTTTAAGAAATGATCCTTTTGGTCAGCAGACAAAAACCGAACAAGAAATTCTCCTCTGCAGTATTAAGAGCTATATGAGGATCATTTAAAGTGTGAGGTAGTTCTGTGAAGAATGCCAGGGTAGAAGGACACCCGCACTCCATCTGAAACACTCTGGGACACAACACAGCCGCAACCTCCACCTCTTTAACACTGCCATGCACCAGGTGCCTGGATGCCGACAGCACCTGTGAGCCAGGCAGGGCAGCTTCCTCCCCACGCTAGTGTGTCCCGGGGCAGGCTGGGCCCTGGTTCCTGGTGACCACTTGCGGGGGGGTCCTTCCAGGGACCACACCCTCTCCAGAGCAGTCCTTCCTCCCACCTGGGGAGTGAGCAGTGACAGGACAGACCTAGTAGGATTAAACCATCACAGTTCCTTCTCATTCTCTTTTGGTGTTTGACATCTTCAACAGTACGCTGAGGAGGGTGCCCTGCTCTTCCAGGCAGTCCTTAGCTTTCAGGCAGCTCCCACTTTCTGACTCTCTTACTTTATGAATGTGCTTCCCAGGGTGGTCCCCAAGAGGAATCTAGGCTTGCCAGAGCTGGGCCTGCTTCTGCAGGGCTGTAGCCCTCACAAATGCCTGAGCACACGAGGACCAATCCTAACGTGAGCCCGTGAGATGCCTCAGCATCCCCGAGATGGAGGCCCAGCCCCGGCGCCTGGGCGGTGAGGCCTGTACCTCCTTGAGCAGCGGCTCTGTGTCAGGGTTGGAGGTCTCTGTGGTGGTGGAGGAACTGTCATCGTCCACCAGAGAGTCCTTCAGCTCCTCTTCCTGGGGCTTGCCCTTTCCCTTCTTCTCCTTTTCCTCCTGCTTCTTAGGTGGCTTCACCTTGCGTTGAACAGCTTTTCCTTTCCCTGGGAGGAAAATCAAAGTGAAATAACTGTTGAGTTTAAAACAGTGTAGAAAACAAATCCATTCTGAATATATTTTTTGGATGAGTCTGGAGTCTTCTGATTCACAAAGGTTTCTTTTCTTCTATGAGTTTTCTCTCATTGAAACTTTCCAAATCATGCTCTGTGATTAGAATAACATCAGCTTTATTGAGGGGTAATTCATGCACTATAGAGTATCCCCACTTTCAGTGACTATGTTGACCAATTTCTATAGAGTCAGTCTGAGAATACTTTTTTGTTCTCCAGAAGATGATGGAGCCTTTAAAAATTGCCCAAGTGAAAAGCAGAGATACTGTGACTCGTCAGAGATGGAATCCAATGGTGACACGCACCCTGAGCTGCCTTTGTATGTCCCCCCCGAAGGCTGCCAAGGCCTCAGCGGAACCACGATGGCTGCATTCAAGCCCTGCCTCTCCCTTACCCTGCTGCATGACTTGACCTCTCATCCCCGAGACGGGAAGACCTTAAACAGCTCAGAGCAGGGCTGGCAGGTGAGTATTATGTAATGTCAGACTGCATGAAATGGTAAAGCAGGCCTAGAGAAAGTCCATTATTTCAAAACACCTGGATGCCACCATGACAAAGGAGAGCCAGCCCACAGTGTGACTCCCAGTGGCTCCTGCGTGCTGGGACCTCAGCAGTGAATGGTGCAATCCTGGCCCTTGAGGAGCTACATTCTACTGCGACCAGACAGAAGCAGAGCAAGATGAGCTTCCAGGAACCCAAATGGTGCCTGTAAAACCACCTGGCCAGGCAGCTAGGTTCAAGAAACAGAGCCACACAAGCCAGACACGATGTAATCCTTCACGTGCATGTCATTTTAAGTATATCCCTTTGATGGGAGAGACTCAATGCAGCTTAAGCCTTGATGGCTTCACACTTTATCCTAAAGAATGCCAGAGCTGCAAGCCTTGGCATTTACTGCTGCTGCTGGTAAACTACAGCCAATGAGCCAAATCTGTGGTCTGTAGCCTGTTTTATACCGCTGGTGAGCCAAGAAGGAGTTTTACATTTTAACTGACTGAAAACAGAAACATAGAGGTATATGTGACAGAAGGAGTCTGTGGTTCACAAATCCTACCTGGCCCTTTATAGAAAATGACTGCTGAGTTTTATCCAGGAAAAAAAAGATTTTTTTTTTTTTTTTTTTTGCAGTGGTTTCCAAGGACTCCTTCACCTTCTCATTGCAAATGACGTTCTCCTCCCTCAAGATGCAGAACGCGCCCTTCCCCGCCCTGCAGGCCCCACCCCCACCATCTCCACTGTGCTGGCTTCATCTTTACTTGGGTGCCCTGCCCTAGTGACCTCCTTCTGGACTTCCGTTTTCCTTTTATGTTCTCCCAGGAACTCAGTTCAATGAAATAAGTATAAGCACTCCAAGCCCAAGCTTCCCAACTGAGTTAACTAAATACCCTAAAAAACATTCTTAGGTCCTTAACCTGACCTTAGAATAACCTAGGGAACATTACAAAACCCACTACTGAGGAAAGCTTAGAAACAGGAAATGGGCAGTGGGGATGCACTTATAACTCACTGGGTAGAACACAAAGATTAGTTACTCCTCACTAGGGTTTTGAAGATTTCTCTGCACACCCCTCCTAAAACTGTTCACCTAAACTGTTGACATATGTCGTTAGAGTTATAGAGTTAGACTACCTGAAAAACAGCCAGGTTCTGCAAAATCATGCTTCAACGCTATGAACTGCTAAATACTAAAATTAAAATAGACATGAGACAGCTGAATAGTAATCTATAGCCATTTTAAGGTGTATAGAACCCAATTGTATATAAACTAATAATCTTAATGAAGAAATCATAGGATGTGGTTCAGAACTTGCACTCTTTTTTTTTCTCTCTTTTAACATGTTGGTTACACAATACCATATCAACTAATTCCATGATGTTATAATTTGTTACTGATGTAATGTCTGGGTTTTTAATTGATTGGGATGATACTCTGTTGGCTCTATCTACCTTCAGACCAGAGACGGTCTCCCCAAGAAACTGCTGAACTTATCTGGACAATAAGATGCTGGACTCTATGCTTTGTAGATGCTTGCAAGGAAAGAATCTCAACTGAATCTGAACTGTAGTAATGCAACAAGAATCCACCATGGGGTGGGGAGGGGTTTTGAGGAGGGAAAAGGGGAATTCCAGAGCCTATAAAAATTGCGGCACATAATGCAATGTAATAAAAAAAAAAAAAAACCCACTGCTGGGTCGGGCATGCAGCACGGCAGTTTGGCTGCCACCTGGAACCCGTACATCCTATACTGGAGTGCCTGGCTGAAGAACTGGCTTCCAGTTACCCAGCTGGGAAAAGGGGCAGGTTTCTTCTGCTGTTTCCAAGTTCAGCTGTTGGTGGGAGAGGAGACACACACTCTTCTAAGACAAGGGACCCAGAAGCCAGCTTTCAGTCTCCTATAAATACATGCAATTATTTGTCAATTAAAAGAACTGAATTCAGAGTCAGATTACCCTCTCTCAATGACTCCTTGATTAACTCAGTACACAGTGAGGAAGACAGGATGTCTCCAAGCCTTATAGGAACCACCACCCAATCAGCATATAACCAATAATATAAACTAGCCCATTCAAATTAGGATGGCCCACACTGAAGGGAGAAGCTGCTTAGGAAAAACTGATAGCATGTTCCCTCTCAAGTGACCAAGGGAGACACTGTGAACCTGGTGGGGCGGGGCACCCAGTTTCAACAGGCTCTTACCAGTCTAGGTGACCTGTCCCTGGGCCAGTCACCATGTGCTTTCTCCCACAGTAACCAAGCAGACTCCTGACTGGGGATGTTGTTCTATCCCCTGAGGCCACCTAATGCTGCATGTTTATCTGCGGGCAGGAAGCTCAGCTGTGCCATTTTCCCTATGATCTCCACTTGCCTGCTTCTCAGTTGGCTCTAATTCCTTGCACAGTCTGAGCATGCTGAAGACAAGGACTAGGCCTTAGACGCCCTTCTCCTCGCCTCGTCTGCCATAGTGCTTAGCACAAAACTGCTCAGTAGCATCTACTCGGCTGCACCAATTATGCCTTCCGAACAGTGAAATGATAAACTATGTGACACCTTCAGCATCAACTGAAAAACATACACAAAGAAACATACTCAAAAACTGCTATACAGAAATCAAAACAGAATTCTAAAAAACATACAAATAACCCATAGAAGGCAAACACAGGAAAAAAAAAAGATCCTAAAGCAGCAGCAATTTCATTAAAATAAAATGGCCTAATTCCATAATGAGAAAGACAGTTTGGCAGGTTGAACTAAAAGTATGAGTGCTATCTATTAGTTATGTAAGCAATTTAGAAGAAACTCACTTCAAATATAGTAATAGAGACAGATTGGCAGTAAAAAATATATTGTGACAACATTGAGCAAAACGGGAGAAGCTATATTAACAATGAAGCAAACTTCAAAAGAGAAGAAATGGCTGTTGATTCAATAGGAAATTGTCTCTTAACAAAAAGGTCAGTCCTCCAAGATGACACACGAATCATTCAATGTAGCACATTTCTGAGAGCTGCAAGTGTGTGCAATGGAAACAAGTCTGAAAGAAATCCTGAATGACAGCTGGATGTGGCAACACCCTCCTCTAACTCAGACTACCCAGGCAGGAAATTCATAAGCTCATGGAAAAACTCAGCATCACAAACCAACAGCATCTAATAGACACGTATAAGCAATCTGCCACAAAGTAGGACTTCACAAGTGCCCATGGATCATCTGCCAAGGTGGATCATTTCCATGTCCATAAAACCAACTTCAACACATTTAAAAGAACCAGACATTCACATTATGCTTTCCAACCATCACAGTTTCAAACTATAAAGCAATTAACAGAGAGCAAAATTTCTCAGTCGCTTGGAAACATAAGCAACACACTTCTAAGTAATACTTGGATCACAGAAAGTGTTAAGAAAAATAATAAATATGGAACTGAATGAAAACTCCAAAAGATAGATTGAAGGCCCAGTGCTAAATGTCCTCACCTAGAGCGCGCCGGGATCCCTATGGGCGCTGGTTCTAATCCTGGCAGCTCCACTTCCCATCCAGCTCCCTGCTTGTGGCCTGGGAAAGCAGTCAAGGATGGCCCAAAGCTTTGGGACCCTGCGCTCATGCGGGAGACCTGGAGGAGGCTCCTGGCTCCTGATTGGCTCAGCTCTGGCCAATGTGGTCACTTGGGGAGTAAATCATTGAAGGGGAAGATCTTTCTCTCTCTCTACCTCTCTGTATATCTGCCTTTACAATAAAAATAAATAAATTTTTTACAAAAAAGAACTGAGGAGGAAACTTATAGCACTAAAGACTAAGAGCATACATTAAAAAGGAAGGTGTACTTTTATAGCAGCAATCTAAACTCTCAGGTCAAGACTCCTCTCCTGCCCCCTCCCCAAAAAAAGACAGCAAGGACAAGGTATTATTAAAGAGCAGACAGCAATGCAACTGAAGCACACAGGAAAGGGAGAAATCGATGCAACCTAAGTGCCGCCTCCCTGAACAGGTCAATAACTTGAAAGATGACACAAATCACCAGTATTAGAAATGAAATAGGGACTATTATTGCAGACATCAACAAAATAATAAAAGATTCTACAAAGAACTCTGAACAGCAATTAGCACGGTGGTTGGGAAGCCGGTATTCCATTATCAGAGCACTTGGGCTCAATGTCCAGCTCTGGCTCTCCGTGCAGACCCGAGAGAGCAGCAGATGGCGCCACCAGCATGTGGTCAAGGCCAAGCACTCAGGGGGTCGTGTGAGGCAGGGGGATGAACTAGTGATAGAAGCTCTCTCTCTCTGCCTCTACACAAACAAAACCCCAATCACATAAATTTGATAACTTAGCTGAAGTGGATCACTTGCTTGAAAAACATAAATACACTGCAACTTACCTAATATGAAGGAAATGATTTGAATAGTCTTACAATAATTATTAAAGTAAGAAGCAAACTCCCATACTTCAAACAAAAGTTAACTCAAATAGGTCAGATGATTTAAGGGTAAAAATACATGTTATAGACTGGGAAAAAATAGCTCGCAAAGAACTGGCATCGAGAATGCATAAACAACTCAAAACAAGTTACAAAATATACCAGAAAATGGGCAAAAGACATTAAAGGGTATTTCATCAAAGAATATGTATAAATAGCAAATAAGCACACAAAAAATATGTTCAACATCACATGAATCATAAGGGAAACAAATTAAAACCACAATGAGATATCACTATAATCTATCACAATAGCTGTAACAGAAAAAAAAAAAATGATGACACCAGCAAGTGCTGGCAAGTGGTGGAGAAGCAGAATCATTTCTATATTGCTGTTGGGAATGTACAGCCACTGAGGAAGACATTCTGGCAGCTTCTTAAAAGAACTGCATAGGGGCTGGTGTAGCACAGCAATGCTGGCATCTGATATGAACACATCTCCACTTCTGACTAGAACCCCGCCAATGCACTTGGAAAAGCAGCACAGATGGCCAAAGTATTTGGGCTCCTGCCACCTAGGTGGAAGACCCAGATGAAGCTCCTGGCTTTGGTCCCTTCCAGCCTCACTCAGTGTGCCATTTGGGGACGGAATCGTAGAATTAAAGTTCCATCTTTTTTCCTCCTCTCTAACTCTGCCTTTCAAGTGACCACACAAATAAATCTTTACTGAATCAATCAAATTCACTACTGAGAACTAAATCCAGACATAAAGTCTCATGTTCATACAAAAAAAGCTTGCATACAAGTATTTATACCACATTTGTAGTAGCCCTACACTTGGAAACAATCCAAACATACTTCAACAGATAAATGATTAAAAATCTGTGCCACAGGGGTGTTTATCCAAGTGGTAAGGAGTCCATGACTCATGCTGGAGTGCCTGAATTCAGGTTCCAGTTCTGACTCCTTAGATCCACAAGGAAGCACCGATAACTTGAACGGTTGGATTCCTGCAGGCTTGGACTGAGCTCCCAGATCCCAGGCTTCGGTTCTATCCAGGCTGGTCCTGGCCATTGTGCTCATATGGTGAGCAAACCAGTGGAAGGGGGCTCCACTTACCTCCCAAATAAATTGAAAAACAACTCCCCAAACAACATCCATACCATAGACTGCTATTTAACAATAAAAAGGAACAAACTGGTCAATCTCCATAGAAGGTTACCTACTGTATGATTTTAGTTACACACTAGACTGGGGAAACACAATTGATAATATACATAGGACTAGAGGAAAATGATGTACAAACAAAACTTTCCAGCACCCAGAGCTCAACTATTTAGGGCTTTCATTAGATTTTTACAGTGATTCAGATTTTTTATTTTTTTATTCTGGAAAGAAAAGAAACAAACTCCCATTCAGGGCAACTTCCTATTTGCCCAAATAACCATTGGATGGGACCACTGCTTCCAGGGTTAGTCCACTGGACACATCCCACTAGCTGTGGGGACAGGACCTTGACACAGGGAACAAGGACCTCACTGGGGTGATGCTAAATGTTGGTTCTGATTCAATACTCAGGGTCAGCACCCAGCAGTCCCACAAGCTCCTCTGTGATATAACGGTCCAACAAGAGTGGCCTGTTCTGTGTGAGCTAGCCTTTGCACTTATTTCCCAGTTGACCAACTGGCTGAGGAGGGGCTGTGTCCCTGAAGTCAACATTAGTCCTCCTCTATGCTCACTCTTGTCTAGCTTCTTTGTCATGGGCACTTAATTTAGGCTAACTCTCTAAGGACTGTCTTTGCCCAGGCTTTCCCAGTACCGACACAACAGACGCCCTGCCTCCAGCAACCATGTTGGAACTCCTTCCTTTCAGAAGCAGGCATCTGTTCTGACGGCCACATGTGACTAGGAACTCAGTATTTTGAAATGGTACACTGCATATACGCCAGCATATGCATTATGCACCTTATATCAGTTCAGCTTTGACTGAGCCACTAAAAGCATTTAATTACCGTTTCATTTGTAAATGAATTAGGGGAAAAGGCTTTGAGTGCTTTTTGGATTTCTGCGTGACCAGTAAGACACTATTGGCTTTTGCAAGACCAGGAACTCAGATGCTGGAAAGTCAAGGGTGAAAGGAAGTCCCCGAGTTGGGACGCCAGGCTCCCTGTGAGACTGCAGGTGAGGAGAGCAAGAATGTCCAGCACTCTGGGGTGCAGAGACCTGATCAGTCACTGCCAGGGGGCACCCATGCTCCTTCATTAAACAGTTTTTAACAGCCTGGTTCTGGGACCGTTTTGAAAATTGAAAAACATTTTAAAATGTTACATTCTAAACCAATGTCCTGGAAAGCAAAGGGCACCAATTATATTGCTAGACTTGCCACTCTTTCTTTGTGATAAGGAAAAGTAATATAAGTTTGTTTTATTCATGCCCTAAAAATGGAAAGCCCTATTATGTAACGAACTAAAAGGAGATTTAAGTATTCATTTAATATTACTGTAAAAATTATCTGAACATTGGCAAACTCTGTAAATGATGGGTTAACCTAAAAAGAATTTCTGTAGAAGCTGGCGACAGTTACCTGTTTTATAAAATGCACATATACATAATCCAGACATTGTATCAGTGGGACAGTCTTTAAAAGGAACTCCTTGACTCCAGTGTCAAGTTTTCTGACCTCTTAGATTCTCTATGTGAGCCAAAGGCAACAACTCTTTGGGAACCAGCCAAGGTGGTGCTGACACAAGCTTGGGGTTGGGTAATGTATAGGCTGATTTACCGCAAAGACAAACTCAAAAAAGTCAGGCTGTGGAGTGATAAACTGAACCACAATTTGAGGCCATTACCTGGCGCTGACATTTTGATTCTAGAAGTTACAATCAGCTCCAAATTATCACCCACCTCTGGCTCTGTCTGACATGTGACATTCTCTCCGCTGGCATGTGAGCACAAAACACAGCAACACTTTGGGATATCACTTCTAAGATTAGGCTGCAGTATAGTGAATGCTGTCATGCTAGCCTGGTTCCTCCCCAGCCCTCTCACTCATTCTGTGATTCCACATGCCACGTGACGAGCTGCCAGTGGAAAGGAGCCACGATGGCCCTCTGGTCACAGCAAGCGAGGAAAGGGAACTCTTGCTTCTACTGGGAGCTGTGTTTTGTCTCATGAATAACTGACTCTTGCCACCAAACAACTGGGTGAGCCTGGCAGCAGACCCACTTTTGAGGGAACCTAAAGATGACTTCAGTGCCAGTTAGCACTTTGTGCTGTGACAGACTAAGCTGGGCTGTTCCCAGACTCCTGACTCACAGAACCTATGAGACAATAATGATGGTAGAAGTCACTAGGATGAGGGATAATTTGTTACTCTAAAAGATAACTAAAACTCCAAAACAGGAAACAGCCATGCTGTATTACCCTGTCTTTATAGCAGGAAGGAGGCACAGCTACTGTGTAAAATGACTGTGGCTGTGTTCCAGTAAAATGTTATTGATAAAGACAGGTAGTGATTTGGCCTACAGTTTGCCAACCCTTGCACTAGTATAAAGGCTGCACAGAAATTCTATTTTTGAGATGATACTAGATTTGCGATGATCTTCATTTTACTACTGGGCTCAAAATTATTTTAACAATTAATAAAAAAGCTTCAAGGAAATAACGCAACAATCACAGGCAAGTGAAAAGGAAAACAGATGTCCAACAAATCTCTGACAATGACAATCTAAGAAATACCTTTAAGACAAAGGGATACCTCCGTCTGCACTGCTATGTGGAGAAGCTGAGGTCCACGCCTGCCGGGCATGTAAACAGAGCCCAGTGCCCAGGGCAGCTGGTCGGCATGAGCACAGCCGGAGCAGCTCCCTCAGCACACCCTGGCTCCCCCGCTCCCAGCCTGCTTTTCCCCGCAAGGGAAGACACGATTACCTTTGCTTTTTGACAACGGTGATGGAGGCTGCTCTGTAAACACTTCTAGGGTCGGTGAGTCATGGTGGTCCAAGTCTTTGTCCATGGCTTCTATGAGACTAGTGATGTCTGAGTCCTCTGAGCTGTGCCTTGGGCTGCTGGCACGTTCTGGGTGGGAAGGGTGTGCGAGGGGGGCAGGAGACAGCCTCCCAGGCTGTGGCTCCTGGTGCTGAGGCACTGGCGGTGGTGGCTGGGAGTGCTGCTCCAGCGGGCTGTGGCTGTGCTGGTGGCCGCTGTGCTGGTTCTGCTTGGCCCCTTTGGACTTTCTGCCCACTGCATGTCCCTGGGTAGTTGCATTAGAATCCAAGACCAGGGCACTTGCTTTGCTTGCTGACTGCGTGGAAGCTGCTTGTGCAGTAGTCCTACCAGAGGTACTGGAACTGTTTTTGGCTCTGACATTTTCCACATCAGCTGAATTCCTACTGCTGTGGCTACTGTGTGGGTGGACTGACGGGCCACACTGTTTATGACTCCCTGCGCTCGGTCGGGATGAAGAGCCACCTGCGCCACAAAATCCCCTACTGTGACCAGGGTCACAGCCGAGTGTATTCAAGCTGGAAAAGGACAAACTCTGGATCAGTAAATCTAATATTGGAAAAAAAAGTTATTTCATAAGTACAGCCATCACAAATATAAACTACTGGGCAGAAAACCAGCGAGAAACAGACAATTTTCACAACTTGCAAGGGTCCATTCTCTCTGCAAGTTTATGAAGGAAGTTGGCACTCAACAACACCTTAACTCCCCCCTCAGCAACGTAACACAAACACTGAGTGGAATGAGCTCTTAGTATCTTGAGAGCTTTACCCAGGATGCTATTAAGTAATTAGAATTGAAGTTTCTTCCTCCTGGGCAAAAATGAAAAGAAATCTATTTTTCCTAGTAATGACAACAGCCACATCAACGTGTGCAACACAACCTCCTGTCAGCACGTGAACATACTTTCCTTCAGGTGAAATGCCAACGATTCTCCTGAGATCAAACGGCCTTCCCACATCAAAGGGCGGGTTCGACGCCTCAAAGGAAAGTCGCCTTCGAAATGGCTCCCAAATTCCTTGAGCTTCCAAGTAGGCCGTCCCAATGACCAAAAGGAAGAGTGCACTGCAGGGCAGAGGGCGGAGAGTCGGAGTTAGCACAAGAGGCAGTGGCTGTCAAAGGCACAGGTTCTTAGTGAAGTGCAACATGAAGTCACGGTGTCTAAAATTATTTGCAATGCCCAAGACAAAAAGCAAAGTGTTATTATGGATAAAGTGTGCAACTGGTTTTTACTGAGTGTCATGTTACATGTTTGATTTGGAGGAAATAAACTTGTATTAGAAGAGAGATACCTGGAACATTTTTCCTTCATTGAGAAGAATTTTGGTTTCAACTCTCTGGGTTGAATCTTTTGCATTATTGAATGTATGAAGTAAGTGTAAATTAACTCAGAGGTGTGTATATGTGCCTATCTAAATATCTACAAAAACCTATAGAAAAAAGGACACTGAGAACTTAAACAATTTCTTCCTGAACACTTTTATGCTTAGGTTCTGTTCTAGAAGAGCGTACTATTAATCAAATAAATCACATATGCCAAAAGCAAGCACTGCCACCTGAAAATTTATATTTTTCTTAAGATGCTAATGTGAACTTAATTCATTTAACAAAATCAAAAGTAAAAGAAACGGTTCCTCACATATTCTGCCCAAGAGCGTATGTCTAATTCTTTCCAGCACTCGGTGATCTTGACTAAAGCACAGAGGTCTGCTATGTTCACAAACCCCCGGGGTCCAGCACCCAGCGAGCACTGGGTAGGCAGGGTGCAACCTTGGCAAAGGGCACAAGTACCTCATGATTCCTGAGATGATGATGTACAGAGCCAGCTCCCAGTTGGGTCTGGGCAAGGCTTCTGCACAGGCTGCTAACATGTGGTACGGAAGGGATGCATTCAATATAAACACAAACTCAGAACCACTACTTGTTACAAACTTCAGCTCGCGGATAACTCTAGACGCGGTGAAATCAGGAGTAAACCTAGAACAGAATGATGGAGGCAAGGTTAAATTTTAAGAACATGGCACAAGCAATTTAAATACAGTATCAGTCCTAAAAACCTTTGAAATACAACACAGAATTTGTGATAAAAATATCACCTAAGATGAGACAATACTGCCCCATGAGGTTAACAACAGGAACAAGTACATTCTGTGGATAACTAAAGAAATTCTAGAAAAAGAATAATCATTAATCCAGAAAATGGTTTTGGGGCTGCTTCCCCTCTTCTCTCCAAATCCACAATGTCTTCTCCAGCTCCACTCACAATAATTTTTTTTTTTTTTTTTTTTTTTGCTTTGGAAAGTCAGATATACAGAGAGGAGGAGAGACAGACAGGAAGATCTTCCGTCCAATGACTCACTCCCCAAGTGGCCACAAAAACCGGAGCTGTGCTGATCTTAAGCCAGGAGCCTCTTTTGGGTCTCCCACATGGGTGCAGGGTCCCAAGGCTTTGGGCCATCCTCAATTGCAGGTCACAAGCAGGGAGCTGAATGGGAAGCGGGGCTGCTGGGATTAGAACCTGTACCCATGTGGGATTCTGGGCGTGTTCAAGGTAAGGACTTTTGCTGCTAGGCTACTGTGCTGGGCCCAACACTCCCCCCTCCAAAAAACCTAATCCAAGTGATTTTTTCATTAACTATTCCACTACTTATTGGCATAAATATTTTTATTTTTTGTTAGCTGTGTGCACTTTGAAGAAACAGGTCATATTCCTGACGGCTTCTTTTAAGTACATACATTATTACTATTCTATTAATATGGGTACTTCGTTAAATATGCACGACAACAAAAAATATTTGATTAAGGACAGAAGTCACATTCTATTACATACATTTTAGAATGCAGCAAGTTACCAATTAATTTTGAAAATACGCTGTGACTATTACTGATATGGACATTAAAACTGCTTTCTAACCCGGACAGTGCATATTGTTATGTCGTGGACAGGGTGTGCCTGCTCTGAAGTCCCTGCTCTATGTATGCCACCACCTTAGGCTTTAATATAAAACCACTTTTGAGATTGTTTCTGAGATGATCTCATTCACTTTGGGAATAGAGGAAGTTTTATAATTTTGAATACAAATACATGAAGAAAACCTAAGGCAGAGATGAACTGGAAAAAACTAAAATGAATTCATTTGTGGATAATGATCTCTTTCGTGATAAACCTTTGCTCAGAATCTGAACAACTCACGTACACAGTGAGCAGTTACTGACCTTTAAATAAAATACTTACAGTATGACTATGTCTCTAGAGGCATTGGCACTTAATGCAAATTCTTGACAATTGACAACTTTGAAGCCGTATCCCTCACAGGAGTAGCCGCTGATTTCAATGGTTTCTACACGAATTTGAAGTTGTCCTGTATTCTCCACTTTAAATGTTCTTTTCAAAGTGAAATTTGGTTCTCTGAGCTTTAAACCTACAGGGTAAAGTATCAGGAATGAGGGTCAGTCTTCCTACCCTGTGCTCTTGGGCCAGTGGTAAGGCCCGTCATTATCAGCAGGCTTCTTTTTTTTTTAATGCACACATAACCCTATGTCCCAGAGAGCGAATCCAAATCCAAAAGCCCACCACTGCCCACTACCGCCCACTGCCACCCATTGCCACCCACGGTGGGTGTTACTGCGTTGCCTATGAGAGGGGGATGTTGTTCCTAAGTCAGGAAACTGCAAGAGGTGGTGAATCCCCCAAAGCACAGCCCCGGGCCCCAGGACGCTCACGGGGGCCCTTTGGCAGCCTAGGGTGGAAGGTGTTTGGAGGTGGGTGGGAATGGGCAGTGGGTCCCATGTGGCTGGTCCCCCTTCTCTTCTCCTGTGCCTGACCCCTGCTGGCTGAGGTAGGTAGAGGAGGGGGTGGCACTGACTGTGGTTGTGGGAGTGTCAGGGCTTGTCTTTCTCCCACCCCACCTTCCCTGGGGACACCCCCCTCCACCAGCCAGCTCCTGAGCTTCGGGAGGTCAGACCTCCAGAAACCCGAAGTCCAGTCATGAAGGCCCAGAGACTATGAACAACCTGTACGTCAGAGACGGGCCCTTCCCTAGGCTACAGGAGAACTTGTTTCCTTTGTTAGATTATTTTTGGTGGCAAAAGTTTTAATATGCTTTATTTTCCACACTTAGAGTAAATCAATTATAGTGTGCAATGAGTAATGATACATTTTTTAGATCTATTGATTTGAAAAGCAGAGTAACAGAGAGAAAGGGAGAGATTGTTGCTTCACTCTCCAAATGTGTGCAACAGATGAGGTTGAGCCATGATTTGCTGCCTCCCCAAGTGCATTAGCAGGAAGCTGGATTGAGCACCTAGGACTCAGATGGGCATTTTGATATGGAATGTAGGCGCCCCAAGTGGTCCCACTGTGCCACAGTGCCAGCCCCAATAATTTGAATCTTTCTGAACATTAAGACCTGGTGTTTCTTAAAATTGTATGCAGTCAACACTAAGGCATAAGATGTGCCTGTACAGACACCTGCTTTTTAGATTTATTTTAAAACAAGTATGAAATCTGTGCCATTGGAACTTTTGCCTTGGAAATACTCACTATCTGTACAGTCCTTTAACAATGCTTCCGTGATTTTAAAGCGCAAGGAACTTCCTGGACCTGGAAGCTTGCCCGCCACCCTCAAATTTTCCGTTGTTCCTTGTCCTTGGACCATCACAGCATCCATCACGGTCAGGTTATTCCTATGTGAGAACAAGAAGTACAGATTTTCCCCCGATTAAGTCTATAATTTCTACCATTATTTTATAAATTATTACATAGAAACCAGTGAACTGAAATTTACAAATCATATATGCTACTTCATTTTGAAACTAATTAATCAAGCACTTCTGTTATACAAATCACTTCCACTTCTATTTCCGAACCTACCTAATTATGATTAGCGAGGACACAGTTCTGTTATGAACTGGAGTAAATTTCACTTTCACAGACTTCTTCTCTCCGGGTTTCAAAATCAGGTTTAAAACTGAATGTCGAGAGAGGCCCTCTGTAAATCCCGTTGAACTCTGCAGTGGATGAGCCTTGAATCATCAAGTGAACAAACAGAAGTCATTAATATATTCTCTGGAAAAGTGGTTTATCATTTATCCTATGTAGAGCCCAGTAGAGTTTCTTAAGTTTGATTAAATATGCAAGCTATTTTACTTTTCATGATTCATATGATGACTATCTGGCAACCAGAGAGCTGAAAAACAAAACAAAACAAAACAAAACAAAACCACACAAACGCACACTGGTAACAAGGCTTCCTATTCTGCTTTAAGTTCAAGACAACGCTTTGTTCCCACATCACAAAGTCCACATGTTTGTGCTATTTTGGTTCTGTGTACAGGTCTTGGCATTTTTAACCTTTACAAACTTAGAAAAACACCCCACTACCTCACACACACTGAGATGGACACAAGCCTAGGACGACACGCCTGCGCCCTCAGCCCAGCATCAGGCTCACACCAGCAGCACACACCATCCTGGGCTCTTCCTGCTGCCTCCTCTGCAGGGAAGCACCCAGGCGTCTTCGGGCTCTAGCACATTTTCACTGCCATTTTTCTCAGTACCTTCTTAAATTTTATTTTGAAAACTACAAACACCATGTTGTTTTACAAACACTTGATTTAGTCTTTAAAACATAGGTTAGCTCAGTATTTACAATAGGACTTGAACAAAATGATTTATTTGAGAGTCAGAGAAAGGGAGAGACAGAACTCTTCCATTTACTGGTTAAATCTGCAGACGGCCTCAAAGGCCAGGGCTGGGCCAGCGGCTTCATCCAGATCGGCCATGTGGGTAGCAGGGGTCCAAACACTTGAGCTACCTTCTTCTGCTTTTACTAGGCTATTACAGGGAATCTGGATTGGAAGTGTAGTAATTGGGACATGAACTGGAGAACATGGGATGCCACTATCGTGGGTGGTAGCTTATATACCATGGTTCCAACCCCAAATACGGATTTTTCTGAGGACCAATAAAATCTTTTTTGTTTTAATCTTTTATTAAAACAAAGTTCACACAAATGATATACTGTTCTTGTTCTAAACCAATATTAAATTTTGGGGGAAGAGATGGTAACATTTGGCTATAATTATCCAAGGCTCTGTTGATATGGAAAGAGAATCAATATTGCATCATTTTCTTCTGCCTTCAGCATAGTTTGGTTATTACATAATACAAGTCTATATTTCTGTATAAGCATGATTTTGCAAACATCACCTGTTGTCAAAAGACATATGAAGCATACATATCTTGTTTATTTTAGTTGAAAGAAGAGTTACAAACAGAGAAAGAGAAGGACAACCTTCCTTCTACTGGTTCACTCATCAAATGGCCACTCTGCCTCAGGTAAGGCCACGCTGAAGCCAGGAGTGAGGAACTACATGCAGGTTCCCCATATGGGTACAGGAGCCTAAAGACCTGGGCTGTCTTCCTGTGACTTCTCATGCATACTAGCAGGAAGCTGGGTAGGATGCGGAGCAGCGAGGACTTGAACTAGTACATAGCCAACACTGCAGGCAGTAGCTTAACCCTTTGTGCCACAATGCTGGCTCCAGTACACTAATTTTTTTAACTTACTTCTCAAGTATTCTATTTTTCTAGCATCTAATGTGGCTTTCTATCAAAGTCTACTAGGACAAGAAACTACTCTAACTGTTCCAAAATGGTGTGTGAATAAGTTTGCTTTTAAGTAAATTGTTCTAACAAATGGACAGTATGATATACTCACCATATGAAGAACTTTCAAGAAGTTCATGGAAAATATGTACTAGTAATTATATATATATAATACATATATAATATATAAACACACACACACATATATATATTCAAAATTTTGCACCCAAATAAACTCAGCATATTCTCCTATTAATTTGGAAAGGATAAGACACAAATAAGAGACGGGGAGTTTCTATGGGCTGGTTCATTCTCAAGTGACTACAATGATCAGGGCTGGCCTGGGGCCAAAGCTGAGCTGGGAGTGCAATCCAGGTTTCCCAAATGGGTGGCAGGGACCCAATTACTGGAACCATTACGGGTGTCTCTTCGGGCCCTCATTGGCAGGAAACTAAAATCAAGAGCTAGAGCCAGTATCGACCCAGGTACTCTGATATGGAATATACCTGGATGTCTTAACCAATAGATTAAATAGCTACTCCTAAAATAAACTGATCTTCAATTCCATTTCCCACAAACTTTCTGAAGTAGCCTTGTATATTCCCCTCAAAATAACTAATTTAAACTCAAATAATATAGGAATGTTTGAGGAAGCCAAGGCATCTCTGGGACTAATAAAGGCCACAATTACTTCCTAAGGATGGTTGTGTAGAGGGACCAAGGGCTCCCTGGGGATCTATCTCAGAGATCCTTGCAGGCACCCACAGTGTCAAAACTATTTTCATAGTAACACTCACCAGGCCAACATTTGCATAACAGTCAGCAGGCTTATAAATACTATTCTGATAAAGGTTTTGCTAATGTATGTTTTACAGATTAAAACACAAAGCTATGGGAAATAGTACAATGTTTTAAGAACTATAAGACATTAAGTTCAGAGAGGCTAATTAATGATCTTAATCAGCAATGAGTATGTGTTACGATGGTAAGAATAGGGTATCGGAATCTGAGAGCGAGAAGGACATGTGAGCCTGGGTGAGGCAGGAAGGGCACAGGGACCAAGGCATAGGTCAGTTTCCAGGAGCTTTACCGCTACCTTTCTGACACATTCACTTCATGCCAAGACCTCACGTAGGAGTAGGCAGTGCTTAGAGAGAACAAGTTGGTTTCTAGAACCAACCAGCTTATGCATATATTTTTAATGTAAGATCACCAGCTGAGTGAAAATCATGCAGACTACTGCGCTAAGTATCAATTCCAGTCACGAGTCTAACATTCATTGAGTCCCATACAGAGAGTACCCGGAAGATGCAAAAGACTGACTCGATATTCTCATAACATCCGGTAAATAACGGTGACAAACCGTCCTGGCTGAGTGTGAAATACCCACAAGTAGGACCCTTCTGCTTCGTGTGCCTTAGCCTCACCAAAATCTCCCTGACTCTTTTGTTCTGATATAGTACTGGACTGTTTGGACTGCTTCAGGATCTAGCCGTTTAGCCACACTTAAAGGCGGTTAATAGTTTTCTTTCATGTTGGCACTGATCACATTTAGAATTGTTTGAGTATGAAGTCTGAATACTTACACTATTTCTGTAGACTTGGAATTCGAGTGTTCTCAAATCCATCTTGGCCACTTTACTCAAGTTAAACCTAAAATTTAAAATGCAGCATCATGATGAAAGGGAATCAAATGTAAATTATTTTTTGTCAGATTTTGAGATTAATATTACCAGATTAATAGACTTTTAAAAATTATGATCACAAACTTGTAATTAATATTTTTCTCGTTTTAAGAGTTAAAAAAAAGTAATATGTTCTATTTGTTTTCTCTTTACAAATCATTTTAGGAGAGTTGTACACCATTTTCCTTATTTTAAATTCAAAGCTTTTCCAGATTTTAACATATCAACTTCAGTCCCTCAAAACTTCTCTCAATTAACAGATGCAGAATTTTTCAGACTAAATCTGTGATTGTATTAGCTTTCTAGCAGTTTTAAGTGTGTAAAATGACCATTTAATCCCATATACATCATTACGTAATGCAATGCTTACCTTGACACTAACTTATCCACAAAGATGGAAGGATTGGAATATAAAGCCAGGGGAATAAACTGAACATAGACAGGAACATCTGCAGGGTTTTCTAAAGTAATCTCTTCTTCCTTAGAGTAATGATACATTAAATGAGATTTCTACAGTTGAAAGTAGGAGTCGTTAGCATAAACCTATTCTAAAAGCAATTTTACTTTGAATACTTACTGAAGAACAGTTTGTATTAGTCAGTGGAAACCTCAAGTGCCGGGGCGAGCCGAGTATGGAAGGCCAGGAGAGCTCAGCAGCAACTTTGGATATGATATTTTTTTGGAGGTCAGTATTGACTTCAAATACAGCACTCAGTCTAGAAAAAACAATTCATAAGCAACTGTATTAAAACAAAACATTGACGTTTTCTGAACACAAGAAATTCTCTGAAGGGTTATTTAACTGATAAATTTTATTTTGGCACTGAAAATACACAGGTTTACTTGCTTGGATATTTTCTTCTGTTTGCCAAAATATCTCTCACTTATCACCTGCACTGTTTTTATACTGCGTTGTAAAGAATGACAAATCTTACAAATAGTTTCAGCAGCATTCACTTGCAATCCTGTTAACATTTTGAAAAACTTTCAAAAGCATAAGTTTAATAAGAAAACCTGGACTCTAGAACAGGGATGTTTTGGGGGTCCTGAAGAACCCCACCTGCCCAGGAAAAAGATGGAGACACCAACAGCAAAGTGCTAAGAATATTCAGAGTTGAATTAGCAGAGCAGGCAGCTCACTGCTGGCAGCTGGTCTTTACCCCTTCAATAAGAAACAGAATCTTCACATACAATGAACGTCTCAGTCCTAGAGGCAAAACACACAAGGGTTTTGAACAGGCATGCAAAGTTTTCAGCCACATTCAGGACTTCATTCCAATTTTTTCCTACTAACAGAGTTTGTTAGCTAGCTGTTCAGGACTCAGAATACATTCCTCAAGGAAACATTATGAAAGGGACCAAGGTCCCTGGGAGCAAACACTGGAGCCTGTTTTAACAATAGTACTAGCAGATGGAGGTGCTCAGATACTGGCAGGAAATCCCTTGTAATGCACACATTGACAAAATAACACCAAGAGAGGAGCAGGGGAAATGGCACATTCACGGTGCCCTCAGCTCTTGGCCCCAGGCCGACAGGGAGCCTAGCTCTTAGCACTAGGTTCCAGGCAACCGAGGAAACAGGTGGCAGAGGTGGCAACTAAGAGGACAAGAGCTTCCCCAGTAACCGAGCCTGGGGCAACACTTCAAGATACTCCTTCAGAACTGGATACTGAAGTTTGGAGCTTGCCTGTACTTCCTAACACCCACTGTGGAAATACAGAGCACAAAGAAAAGTTTTACAGCTGTCTTAGCAAGTTCATTAGGACAAATCTCTGTGTATGTGTTTTAATCATTTCAAAGCAAAAATGTAACTTTCATTCACCTTAACATTTTTTTGCAGTATTAAACCTTCAGATTCAACGATCAACGGTTTTTAAGAATTTCATGTTTTTCTTAAGCTGGAAGGTCTTGAAACTAACAAAAACAGTTACCTAACAGTTATCAAATCAAAGGTATTTTCATCAGTTGTCATAATATTATTCTAGTTAACTTCTTTTCTGAAGTAGATGAAAACAATGGCCTTCAATATTATCAAATAAATACACCCATGCTTTCAAATGCAGGCAGTGGTGATTTGTCATCGGCCCATCTACTGCCAACGACACTTGGAGTCCATGTGAAGTGGGCCTGGCACCCTCATGGCCAGCTCAGCACTCGAAGCGAAGAGGAGCGCTGTTCACTGGCGCAAACACACTTGCTCTCCTACACTGGGAATAAACCTAGAAAATGTTTTCCTTGTCCTTAACAGAGGTCAGTGGTAGATTCACACACTTTCTTATGCAAAAGGCTGTAAGTGAAACACTTCAGGCAGCCTGCATGAAGACAACTTCAAATAATTTCTTTGACTTTCATGAAGTAGCTAAGGCACTGCCGAAAAGAGAAAAACGGCAGTGTGTATATTTATGAGCAATATGTAATTTAAAAAGCAGGTTAAGATGCCTCACTAATAACCTTCCTGGGTACTGTTTTGTAAAGCTATAATGTAAAACAGCCTAATGTAAGCTTAGGGTAGAGAGTCATGTCAACAGAGAGGTTTCAAGCGTGGAAAGAAAGCTAAGATTCTTAAAACAAAACCACTCACCTATGACCAGAATTTTCCTTTATCCCCATCCATGCTTTGAACAGGCTTTGATGCAAATCCCAGTCAGTATCCCATATATCTTCCTGCATGGCTACCCCTGGCTGTAGTTTGGGTTCAGCTAAAACAAATAAACACACATTATGATGGACCTGGCCCCAACCACAATCATTTACCAAACTCCTCAGGGGAAACTCTGGACCAAAAGGGGTATAAACTTTACAAAGTGTAGCCTTACATTAAAAAGCTATTGGTGGGAGTGAAGGAATGAGAGCAGACAGCAAGACAACTTACATTTGGAAAGAAAAGGCAAGCCAACATAGCAGTGATCCCCACACTGCAGTCCAGGATCAAAATAGACGTTTGCAATCTGCAAAGAGGCACGGGTGAACCATCAATCCTCAATGCACAGATGGTCATGACAACAGAACAAGGACTTCTGGGAATTCTCAACTGTAAGATTTTCAAACCTTTGATTTTTTTCCAGGCTCCAACTCTTCCTTGTTGCCCCGTAATCGTTTGTAGTAGAACCGCACATCTTCTGACAAAGATCGTATCTGTTGTATCTTTACCTTCTGTGAGAAGGAATTCATGATATTTAAACTCTGATGTACTGTCTTTCCCTGGAGGAAAAAACCAGAAACTCGTTTGTAGATGGCTGAGTTTTCTCAAGATCACACACTCAAGAGGATCATTTTTCTACGGTCTTGAGAAAATGAATTAAAGTAAAAATATCCAGAGGCTGCCAAACAAGAAGCAGAGACAGGTTTAATCAAACACAATAATTATTTTCAGTTTGTTAGCAAGTTTTGTTTATTCTACTTCAAGGAGGTTCTGAAAGGACTAAATTCTAAAATTAAACAAAAATGTTTTGAAAAAATGTACATTAACAAGCATTTTATTAAAACAGCAAACAGATTAAACTGATAAGCAATGACTGCTCTCACTAGCTGCAAGCTTCTCCGTGACAGCATACTAAAATTCAAAAAAAGTAAAATGATAAATACTAAATAAGAACATATCTTTTTTTGGATGAAAGCAGAATTTTATCATTTTATACAATGATTCCTACCTACTTGAAGAAATATTTAAAATGACAAACTTTAAAAAAAAAGTCTGCTATTAAAAATGTAAAAGTTGGGGGGCTGGCATCAATTGGTTAATCCTCTACCTCCAAGTACTGGCATCTCATATGGGCACAGGTTCATGTCGCAGCTGCTCTGCTTCCCATCCAGCTCCCTGCTACAGCCCTGGGAAAGCAGCTGAGGACAGCCCAAAGGCTTGACCCCGCACCCTCATGGCAGACCCGGAAGAAGCTCCTGGCTTCAGATCGGCTTAGTTCTGGCTGCTGTGGTCACTTGAGGAGTGAATCAGCAAATGGAAGATCTTTCTCTCTGTATCTCCTTCTCTCTCAGTAAATCTGCATTCCCAGTAAAAGTAAATCACTCTTAAAAAATTTTTTTTAATGCTGAAACTGAAAAGATACTCATTCAGTCCTGAAATGAAGATTGTTATAGCCAACTTTATGTGAACAATGTTATTTAAATTGTTTGCATATAAATATATAGTTATGGAACATGTTCAATTCTGTTATACCTCACTGGACAGCAAAAGGAAAAATTTCTTCCTGATGAGTAAAATCTAGGAGGGACAATTATTTTTATAGTATAGAGAACTACAACACTGTAAATAATGTTCTTTGAAAATCATTTTTAAGTTGGCTGCACATGTGTAGTTAGACAATTTCTTATCAAGCTAAATAAAAAAAATGCTTAGTAGTGGCAGTATTTAGCACACAGAAACATTCTCCTCCACTTTGTCACAATAAAACTGTAATTGCCTTCCTGAACAAGAGCACTCTTTTATCATGGTACTATTATAGAAAGGAATAAATACATAAAATGCAGAGCTTCTCTCTGGGCTGCTCCATTAAAAAAAGATTATTTCTTAAGGGTTCTGAAAAAAAATTTTTTTAATTTCAAGATTAGAAATTTTATCTCAATTCTGAATCTCTATACTAGCTATTTGCATAATTTAAAATTCTTTGATAACCAGCCATGGTCCAATGTCTGACCAGGTCCCATACTGACTGTGCTTTTGTGTATTTAGATCACAAAATAATTACTAAACTACTAAATAAAACTACTAATAAAAACAAAGAAGGCCCGGCGCAGTGGCGCAAGTGGTTAAAGGTCCTCGCCTTGCACGCCCAGGATCCCATATGGGCGCCGGTTCTAATCCCGGCAGCCCCGCTTCCCTTCCAGCTCCCTGCCTGTGGCCTGGGAAAGCAGTCGAGGACGGCCCAAAGCTTTGGGAACCTGCACCCGTGTGGGAGACCCGGAAGAGGCTCCTGGCTTTGGATCGGCATAGTATCGGCCCGTTGCGCTCACTTGGGGAGTGAATCATCGGATGAAAGATCTTCCTCTCTGTCTCTCCTCTCTGTATATTCGCCTTTCCAATGAAAAAAATAATAAAAATAAATCTTTAAAAAAAAAACAAAACAAAACAAAAAAAGAAGGCATCAGAGATTGCTGCTACGACAAAACAATCTCGAAAGCCACAGGGGAGTATAGGAAGTGCAGAGGAGGGTTCCAGGAGGGAGGGGCATTGAAGGCAGAGAAAGCGAGGAATTCCAGAGCTTTCCTTCTCACTGTTTCTGGGGACTCTGGCTCGGTCTCAGTGTTCTACTGCTCCTCTCACAGAGTGCCACTCATCTTTAAAGCTTAATTTTGACAATGCCAAGCCTCTGCTCAAAAACCATGGACCTCCACAGATTCAGATGCTATCACCTCAACATACTATTCTACCTTTCTCCTTAGAATCTCCCTCTATTCTTGCCAAACTGGACAACTCACAACTGCCTGAACCCAATTCAGACTTCACCACTTCTGTCCCTGCTTAGGCTGGTCATGCCCTGGCTCCCAAAGCCAGTCCTCACGGCACTCCCGTAACTCCGCGGGAGATCCTAGCCAGGTCTCATGGGATCTTCATCAGACACACGTACTTCCCTCACAGCACTATTTCTTTACGCTTTTGGAGACAATTCCTTCCCTTTGATTTGCATCTATAAACCTGTTTACTTCCTGTCCTAGACAGAATAATGCTTGAAACCCGTGCAGTTATTTTTTCAAATATAAAAATGAATAAACAACAACATTAACTTATTTTCCCATAAATTCTAGAAAGGCAGTGCAGGAAAGAATTGGAATTTAACAACTTTGTGAATTAACGGTCTTACTGGAAAGCAAGGAGGAAGGATCATCTGCTTGGGGAAGCAGGTCAGTGAGCCCACCGCAATCACAGCCTTCACAGGGATCGTCAGGATCTGTGCAGGAAGAAGCAGAAACCATCAACTCACTCATCCTGACCATTAGTGCACAGGGTTTTTTTTGGGTAGGGGGGAAGAGGAGGATGTAATTAAAGAATTCCTTTAGGGACTTTTGCCAGCAAGAACTAATTCAAAACCAGTATTAAAGTCAACCATGGACTCTGTTTACATCTGATATACTCTGTAAAATGCAATGAAATATAATACAATGCCACACCTCTCCAATGAAAACAGAATAAGATTAAACAATGTGGAAGATAGAATTTTCACAGTCTAAGTATTTTGCAGATTATTAACTTAAAAAGTAAAATTGTATTCTTAAAACAATGTATTACAAGTGTTTTCTAATGTTACATGGTGAGTTCTGCCAAATATAAATATTCTTAATAATTAGAAGTCAAGCCTTGACTTTAAAAAAAATTAAAAACAATCAAAAACTTCAACAAGACACTGCCCTTGGCTTCATACCCGCAGCCTTCATACACCTCCTATAGGAGGTGGCACTTCTTCAAAAGGCTGCAGCAGCTGAGGCTGTGCCAGGCTCAAGCCTGGAGTCTCGAAATCCATGTGGATCTCCCGTGTGATGGCAGGGGCCCAAATATCTAGGCCACGTGACACTGTTTGCCCAGGCACACCAGCGAGGAGTTGGACAAAAAGAGGAGCAGCTGGGACTTGAACTGGTGTTTATATGGATTGCCAGCATTCGAGGAGGCATTTTAATTTGATGTGCCACAATGCTTGTCCTAAAACCAACACTTTTTACTCTGCTACTCAAGTAGAAAGACTGCAATGCTCAAAGCAGGCATGATGCCAAGGGCAGCATCTTGCTGGATTTAGCACGCTTGACTGTTAAGTATTAAAAGTATGTATATTTGACAGAAATATATCTATTAAATATTTTACTGTATGCAACAGAAACTCCAGAGAGTTTTAAGAAAATTCAATCATCTTTCTTGACTTTGACACCAAACTAAGAACTCAATTTGAGACATGGTTTCCTGATTTTTCTCTGCTTTTTAGAAGCGTTACACACAAATCTGTGTTTGCACTGGATACCAGAGACATCCAGCCCAGAAAATTCAGGTGGCCCCATGCAATGTTTGACCATCTGTAAACATCTCTAACTTCACAGCTTTCTCTATGAGTCAACTTATGTTTTTCCATTTCTACTAAAAAAAAAAAAAAAAAGACTGAACTTCTCAGCAAAACCCAAATGACAAGAATCCCCACACAAAGTTCTTACCTCATAGTCTGTTGTTATCTGTATGGCTCCATCATGGATCCCTTCTAGTTTTTTTGCAGTGAGTTTGACTCTAAACACCGCAAAATAGCCTGATGCCAATATTACCTGTATGGTAGGACAGCATTCGTTAGCTGTGCTGTTTGCAGTTTCTCATGAAAATGGAAAGGCTACAAATAAGCTGACTCTGAAATCCTAACATAAACTGTTGACACACATAATTATTGCATCATCATGTAGAAATATCTCAAAAGAATACCCACTGCTTCAAACTGAGCTGCTCCTCGCACACCATGGGCTGCCTTTGAGAAGGCTGGCTCAGGCAGGCATGGTCAACCTCGCAGCTGCAGGGGGGAGAGGTGTAGTTCTCCTGCCAGCACCACCCCACCACTACTCACCACCCCAGTGCCTCTCTGGGGTGTGGGGTAACTGGCATGTGAACGGTCATGTCTTCCTGGCAGCAGTGCTGGGACACACCAAAGCACCACATCTTTGCAATCGCTGTGCATGAGGACATGCACTCATTTTCCTAATTAGTTCTGTCCTAACCTGCAGACGATATGTGAAAGCCCTATCAACAGAAGGAGACTCACTAATTCTTTGCTAGGTAGGCTTCAGCTCCGAGTTCCTGTCTCATTAGCACCGAGGGCCAAGACAAATTTGTTTGTTTTCTTTTGCTTACTACTCTCAAACAAGCAACTGCATGTGTTATGAGACAGATTAAAAGCACATGGGAAAAGTCATACAGGGACCAAACAATACCTCATTGATGCTTTTTTAATCACTATAGAAAACTAGCCAGAGTATTACTTAAAATTAAAAGTGCTTTCTACCAATATTCAGGGCTATTTTTTTATTGTTTCTTTTTTTCCCCAGTAAACTCAGAGCACACAGGGTGAGTTTAGCATTTCCACATGAATTTCCTGAAATGAACTTCTATTATAAAAGACAATTTAAGTTTTCCTCATTACAAAGCTATTTATGTCAAGGTTAAATTTAATGATCCCTTTGGGTTTCAGCGCATTCAACATAAAGGAGGGCCTGAGGAGATACCTGTAGTACGCTTCAATACAAATTATCCAGCTGACTGGGAATTGCAGAAATATTTGGTGTGGAATGCAAAACCATGGTCTTTTATCTAAGGCGTAGACATCCATCTTAGTTTAAGAAAACAATAAGAAAGTCTACTTACTGATGACTGGTCAGATAAAGAGGATTTTTCCAATTCTGGAAGATTTGCAATTATTGTAGTTCTATTGCCTCTCTCAGTAGCAACAAGTTCTATTGATAAACCATCTCCTATGATATGCCAACTTTTTATAGCCAGCTTAAAAAACAAAGCGATGGAAGTGATTACTACAACATAAGCATGAAATCTTTAAATACAACACAGAATAAAAAAAAACTTTTTACCTCAATTGGGTTGCTGTTTATAATTGCAAATAAAATGCTGCTTGCTTCTGTTGCACTCAACACTCCAAAATCGATGAATCGCTCTTCTATTTTGGGGGGCAGTACAAAGTACTAGAAAGATAAGAAAGTATTACATTAACTATAGAATGGCATTGATGTAACCTGAATAGTATCAAAAGTAACCACATTAAGATATAAATTTCCTAAATTTTATGTATATAAACGTAAAAGGATATTTCAGAAGGTTCATGAAAAATTAGAGTAAAAGATGCTATTTTACTGCCAACATTTTTTTAAAACCCATGCAAAAAGATCCTGAAAAATGTGGACCATGAAAAAAAACATGGATATAAAATTTTACTGCACCAGATATTCTTTTAAAATCATTTTCATGAATGTCACGAAATATTTTCATGTGTAATCACATATAGATAGCAGACGCCCTGTACAAAGATCAGCCTTTAGTAATCCTACGTGAAAATGGCCCTGGCCTCTACTGAGCAGCTGAAAGAAGCAGGAAGCTGAGGCAGAAGGAGAGACTAAGTGGAGCTGCGGATCAGGCAGAAAGCCTGGAGCTTCAATTAGCTTCACGAATGATTACAAAGCTTTTATCACTTAAAGTAACTGAAGGAGCAGGGGAACAGTGAAGGTCCTGCCAGTTCTAAGACTAATTGATGCTATGGTTTGTAGGATAACATATCAAAAATAACTGGAAAAAGTGTGTCTGTACAGAATATGCACAGACGTCCCCCTTGTCACTGTCTCCAGACAACACAGCATAGCAGCTATTCATACCGCATTTGCACTGTTAGGCACTGTACATAAATGAGGATCTGTGCCAATTTATATCAGAGATTGGACACCCACACCCCTGGCACTGCAAAGGAGCATCCTGGAAGTGATTCCCTGCAGACTCTGAGAGAGGACTCGGGTTTGCTATTATTCCTGATTTGAAGCATCCACTGGGCAGTGGGGAAGGTATCCTCTGGAGAAAAACCAGTGTCTCTTCAAAGTCTCATTCCTGATGAAGGAGGAATGAGAACAGCTTGTAGAGCACAGATGAACGCATGCAAGAGTGTGCAACATGACTGCCTAGGATCTGCACACCCAGAAGATGTGTGAGTGCTCACAATTTTAAAGATACCATACTTACATCTAAAAAGCCTGTGTAAACCCGCACAGGTAAATGAAATTTAGAAGCATTGGTAATAAGTAAAATGTTGTTGTCTATGTGCATAGATGATGTGGAGGGCATAAAAAACAGGGTGAAAATGTATCCTGATTCATTAGGGAGAATTAAGACTGGTTTGCTGAAGTTGTGAACCTAGGAAATAAAAGGAGAGGAAAAAAAACATGTCAGAAACGTCCACTTGATATAGAAAAATCAAAGGCATGAGCTTTCCCTGACATACTTTAAACATTGCTTTGGCTTCTTCTGGGAGCAGCACATCGTGAATAAGGATGGCGAAGCTGAAGGTGTTGGTCAGGTGGATCGGCCTTTCCACAGGATCAGCAGGGCTATCCCGGATGTGAAACAGCGTGGCCGCGTGATCAAACCCCAAGTAACTGTTAGGAGAAAATCATTTTAATTTCCAAATGTGAATTGAACCTCTAAGGTCACTGGTGGTACATAACAACTCTATGAGCACTAATGATTATATCAGAAAAGTAGAGCTAACTTTTTATGACTAGATGATTTAAAATAAAATTTGTCTTATAAAACATTGAAATACAAAAACTGTTAAATGAATTATATACAACTTATTAGAATCAAGAACATATAAACAAAAAAGGATTTACCCTATTTTGAAAAGAAAAACCATGTTTATTGCTGACTTGCAATCAGATTTCTTAAAAAGAGTTATCAAATACCTCTATTAAGTTATTGTTGGTCAAAGAATAACTGGAAAATGAACTGCATGTTACTGCCCAGTAATAAAAAGTTGTTTTTCCAGGAGTGTGCGTAAGTTTATAAAGGAAGACAGAGGGTTGTTTTCAGTGGCCAAACAGTAATAAACCACAATCACTTACATGTTGTAAAGGCAATGACAGGAAGCAAATGGTGCAAATGATTTAAATATTTTTAAAAATCATAGATTCTTCTGTGAATCATTAAGTTCATTTAAACTGAAGTCATATTATCCAATTACTTTTAAAGTAGAAAGTAAAAAATATATATATAGAAAGTTCTCCTAGACAGTTCAGGCTGTTGTTCTCACTGATAATTCCACTAAGTTAGGGTGAAATTGGCTACTATTTTTGCCCAGTTTTTCATAACAAAAACTTAATTTATTGCTAAGCAAAAATCTAAAAAGTAACTTACCCATCTAAAACTTCTGCTTGATATGGTATTTCAAGTTTAGAATAACTCTTTTCCTTTGCTTTAACAGTTATTTTCCCAGAAAACTGCGATGGTTTTTTTGCTCTGGATGCTGAAGGTATGGAAAATAGTTCCCGTCAATTTTTACTACCAGAGAAGATGTATCACTTTACACTGACTAGCAAAAATCTTAAAAAGAATTTAAGCTTTAAGCTGGTAAACAGACAATTTTCATTACCCTTTTAAACAAATAATACATTTTTCATACAAAGAAAGGAAAACATTTTGTTTTTGCTGAAATGAGATCAAGCAAGTGAACAGTTTAGGAACCAACTTTCTCTCCACAGCCAGTTTTTGTCTTAGTAACAACAGCTGTTACTCTACCTCTGAGTTAATATTTTTAAATTTTTTCCCCAAGTATAATTTTTCTCTGTGTTAAAGTTTTAGGCCAGATTAATTCTTGGTTGTAGATTAAATCTTCCTTGTGTCTTTTTATGGGATGTTTAAGTGCCACCTGGGGCCTCTATTTACTCGATGTCATTAGTACCCCTCCTGCTGCGACAACCCAAAACGTCTCTGGACATCTGTCAGGCAAGATTGCCACCCACTGAGAACCGCTGGTTAATACCTTCAGAGAGAGAAAAACACTCCTTGTCCGGCTGGTCTTCCTAGCAATACCAACCAAGCAGCATTGTGCAAGAAAAAAATCAAGATTTAGGAACACTGACTCCTCTTCTGGGCAATCCTAAGAGCATAAGGACTCTAAGAGGAAATAAATCCTTTCCTACGGTCCTCATCAACGAAACAGCTTTGGATAATTTTATCTGCAGGACTTGGCCTGGATATCCATCAAATATCCCTATAAGAAAATAAGGAAACTATCCCTTTCATGTACTTCCAAGGTACACTTCCACTTATGGGAATAATTTATCTGTGAGTCAAGCAAATGTGTATTACTAGCTTCAGAACAAAAACAGAACAGGGCCTGATGCAGTAGTCTAGTAACTAAAATCTTCGCCTTGCATGCACCAGGGTCCCATATAGGTGCTGGTTTGCATCCTGGCTGCTCTGCTTCCCATCCAGCTCCCTGCCTCTGGCCTGGGAAAGCAGCTGAGGACAGCCCAAAGCCTTGGGACCCTGCACCTGCATGGGAGACCTGGAAAAAGCTCCTGGCTTTGAGTTGGCTCAGCTCTGACTGCTGTAGTCACTTGAGGCGAGAAACAAAGGATGGAGGACCTGTCTCTCCTCTCTGCATATCTGCCTTTCCAGTAAAAGAAAGAAATTAAAAAAAAAATTTCCATTAAATCTGTTATTTTTCCATACATGCTCATTAACCATTCCCGGATGCTTTTAAGTTTTCTCTCTTGGTTCTTCTGTAAACCTGATTATAATTGCCATAATTTAGCCATTTCATGTCATATCAGGTTACATTTGTAAATGAAATGGTGAAAAATTGAGGGAAACTCAGTTAAAATCATAAATAGTGACTTTTCTGATAAGAAGATGTGTGATAAGTGAGCACAATACAGAGTTTATGTCAAGTGCATTTTGAAAATATTACAAGTTAGCACATTTCTTGACTTCCAATAGCAATCTCAGGGACATGTTCTGTGTGCAGACCTAGAGGGCTGGTAGGCGAGGCAGAAGGTGGACAGGCTCTGCTTCTCACCTAACTCCCAGGAAGATGACCCATGTGTCTGAAACTCTGCCATCTGCATGGGAGACCCTGATAAAATCCCTGGCTCCTGGTTGCAGGCGCAGCCCTGGACATCTGGAGAGTGAATCTGCAGACAGATCTCATTCCGTAACTCCTTCAAGTAAATAAATCTCTTAAGCAGGTAAAAATGTGTTCTGAGAGACACAGTCCTTTGATTTTAAAGATGCTTTCTGTCTGCTTTTGTATTCATTTCTATGTAACTTCCTTTAGAAACACCTATTTGGGAGTGTTTGATCTCAGAAGAATAAACACCAGTGACACTACATGTGTTCGGGACGGAGACCCTCACCAGGGAGTATAGGAAGATGCTGGAGATGAGGGGCACGTCCCAACTACAGGGGCAAGAGGGAGCTACATGATTAGACTGAGGCACCATGGCAAGTCCACCTGTCACACCTGAGCTGTGCTCAGCTCCTCACAGGAGAAGCCAGTTGATGGGGGACAGGAAAGGGACAGCACCCCTGGAGCATGTGGGCCTGCTTCTCACTCTAAGTCCCTAGAGCATCTCCCTCTGAGAAAAAGCCTGTATATAAATTCAGTTCTCATTTAATTTCATACACAGTTAGGTAGCCATTAAATCACTATCAAATATATCTTGTGACAATATATGTCTCATCATGTAGGCAAAACTGAATAAAATATGCTATAAAAATGTTAATCTGGGTTAACACTTAACACATATGCATTTGAAGTACCAGTCATAAAGGTCATTATTTTTTTTTAAATTAATTTACCTTTTATTGTAAAGTCAGATATACAGAGAGGAGGAAAGACAGAGAGGAAAGATCTTCTGTCTTTTAATTCACTCCCCAAGTGACCGTAATGGCCAGAAATAAGCCGATCCAAAGCCAGGAGCTTCTTCTGGGTCTCCCAGGCGGATGCAGGGTCCCAAGGCTTTGGACCATCCTCTATTGCTTTCCAAGGCCACAAGCAGGAAGCTGACAGGAAGTGGGGCTACCAGAATATGAATGGGTCCCCCTATGGAATCCAGGTGTGTGCAAGGCAAGGACTTTAGCTATTAGGCTACCACGCTGGCCCTACTATTTCAGTTTAAATAGGACTGTCTGCCTTGCTTGTTAAGTTGATATATATAAAAAGTTTTTAAAAAATTTTGGTTTTGAATATAAATATTCTTCTAAAATTTAAACATGCTATCAATTGCAAAAATCAATGGGGTCGGGCCCGGCGCGGTGGCGCAAGTGGTTAAGTCCTCGCCTTGCATGCCCGGGATCCCATATGGGCGTCGGTTCTAATCCCGGCAGCCCCGCTTCCCTTCCAGCTCCCTGCCTGTGGCCTGGGAAAGCAGTCCAGGACGGCCCAAAGCTTTGGGACCCTGCACCCGCGTGGGAGACCCGGAAGAGGCTCCTGGCTTTGGATCGGCATAGTATCGGCCCGTTGCGGCTCACTTGGGGAGTGAATCATCGGACGGAAGATCTTCCTCTCTGTCTCTCCTCTCTGTATATCCGCCTTTCCAATAAAAAAATAATAAAAATAAATCTTTAAAAATAAAAAAAAAAAATCAATGGGGTCTGGTGAGATACAACAAACTAATCCTCCACCTCTGGTGTCAACATCTCATATGGGCACCACATCATGTCCTGGCTGTTTCACTTCTGATTCAGCTCACTGTTAATGATTTGGGAAAGCAGTGGAAAACGACCCCCCAAGCACTGGCTTGATGGCTATTTGGGCAGTGAACCAGTGGACAGAAAACATCTCTTTCTCTCTCCTTCCCCTCCACTCTCTTAGCATTTCTGAATTTAACTAAAATGAACACATTTTAATAAATCATTGACTTCATAATTAAAACAAACTGCAACAGATGCAGCTATGAAAGGATTACCTCAGACTGCAGATACTCTGAACTTATATCAGTTTAGATTTATGAAACTATATTTTAATGTATCAAATAACAGCCTAGAATGACGAAAAAAAAAAAAAAACAAAACCCCACCTAAGCAAGAATGCGAACCTTATTATAAAGAAGCCTGATTTCCTAAATCATGATGCCAACACAAATGCTTCCATGTTTACTACAGTAACGCACCTGTATCACAAAGGAGAAAGGCAAATACTTACCATCAAAACTAATGCTGGCAACTTTGGTGTATTTACTTTCAGAAGCTTTTAACGTAATCGGTTTAAAGTATACGGTTATAGCATCATTTTGTGGTGTAGGTCGAACACTCTGCATAGAAGAAAAACATACACATAATTGGCATTATTTTGGTCTAATGGTTTAGCAGGAAAGTAAAGCTCAAGCAAAACTTGGCAAGTGCATCTTACATGGTCCTTTTAAATGGAGAAGGCCAAACTGGTAAAACTTAACTTCCACAGAATGTGATGTAAAGTGATAATAGAGGGGGAACTTTCAACAGATTAGCAACTTTAAGAAACTAAAACTATGGGGTTGCTGTGGTAGCCTAGTGGCTATGGTCCTAGCTTTGCACACACCAGGATCCTGTATGCGTGCCAGTTCTAATCCTGCAGCCCCGCTTCCCATCTAGCTCCCTGCCTGTGGCCTGGGAAAGCCGTTGAGGATGGCCTAAGGCCTTGGGACCCTGCACCGACGTGGGAAACTTGGAAAAAGCTCTTGGCTCTTGGCTTCGGATTGGCTCAGCTCTAGCCACTGTGGCTACTTGGAGAGTGAATCAGTAGATGGAAATTATTTCCTCTCTGTATCTCTGACTTTACAATGAAAAGAAATAAAATCTTAATAAATAAATAAGTGAATGAATAAATAATACATCTTAAAAAAAAAGAAACTAAAAACTGGCCAGCATTGTGACGGAGAGGGTTAAAAACCTACCATCTGCGATGCCAGCCTCTTATGGGCACTGGTTCACGTCCTGGCTTCTCTATTTGTAAGCAAGCTCCCTGCTTATGTGCCTGGGAAAGGAGAGGCCATTGCCAAAGTAGCTGGGCCTGCCAAATCTAGGAGAGGCAGAAGGAGCTTCTGGGTTTGGCCTGGCTTAGCCTAGCCACTGAAGTCATTTGTCAAGTGAAGCAATGAATGAGATCTCTTTGTGTCTTTTGTCCTCCCTGCAACTCTACCTTTCAAATAACTGCATCAATAATATCAATGTTAAACATTTAAAAAAATATATCATAAAACAAGTTTAGGGCCCGGCGTGGTGTCGCAAGTGGTTAAGGTCCTCGCCTTGCACGCCCAGGATCCCATATGGGCGCCAGTTCTATCCCGGCAGCCCCGCTTCCCTTCCAGCTCCCTGCCTGTGGCCTGGGAAAGCAGTCGAGGACGGCCCAAAGCTTTGGGACCCTGCACCCACATGGGAGACCCGGAAGAGGCTCCTGGCTTCGGACTGGCATAGCATCGGCCATTGCGCTCACTTAGGGAGTGAATCATCAGACAGAAGATCTTCCTCTCTGTCTCTCCTCTCTGTATATCTGCCTTTCCAATAAAAAAATAATAAAAATAAATCTTTAAAAAAAAAAGTTTAACACACTGAGTACAAGCATATAAACTATGAAAAAAATTTATTTTCTAAATGAAAACTTAATTCAATTATGAGAGAAGGCAACCTATGTTATGGTTCCACTTAACAAAATCCACAATCCAAAATGTAATATGCAGACTATCTGAAGGTGAGGAATGAAGAATGCCTATGAATCTGAGTTGGACCCTAGGGTCAGGAGTTCTGCAGATTCTGTTTCCAATGGCATCTTCTCTTGCTTGCTGGGATATGGCTGTGATGGTAGAGTGTGCTGTTGGTAAGGGGGCAGGGCTCTCTTTCTAGCTATGGGGTTCAGCAGTCAGGCAAACGGGGGGATGCGTAGCTTGAAAGAAGACAGGATGCTTTGGACTTAATGAGTCAGATTTTTCTATTAAAACAGTTGAATCTTAAACAGCCCAGAACAGTAAAAGCTGATCCAATTCACATTTAAGGTCCAGCCCTAATGGATTATCCTCACTGACAGAACACTTTGAACAGGAGAAGACTTTAAGCATTCCCAGCTTTTTCCTGTTACTGAAGATAAGGAACCTGCTGACACTGTGTGGTGCTTCAGTAGCTAGAACTGATTCAGTACAGGCTTTCATGTGATGTCCAACTGTAGAAAAATGCATTCACAAAATGGCTGTACTGTACAAAAAATGTTTATCCAAAACTTTCCTGTATAATTGCTGAATCATAACTCCCCCTGGAGGTATCCACTGAATTTCTGTAGACTTATCATACACCCTGTCTTATTCCTTAGAAAAGAGCTGCTTGTCAACGGGTGCAGTCAGATCCAACACAGAATAAGGTTATACCCCCCAGTTCCCTGTCCACTCCTTCAACTCATTTGTAAAGGAGAAAAATTGGCCTACACCGAACAAGACAGTAATCTCTAAAGGCACAAAAAGCACCCCAGGCATGAAAAAGAGAGAACTTTCCTTTCAGTTGTATTGTCTGTGTTCACAGCATACTTACGCACAGTGACGGAGCAGCTTCCCACCATTCTGGGTTAGTCCTGAGCTAGCAGGCTGTTAGCAAGTGACAGGACCCATAATGCTGACCTGAGGATGGCTCTGTAATTTGCTGTGCAGGAAAACTTACTAGCCTTTGTTCTTGGCCTTAGGCTGTCTTTGCATTTTAACTCTTTTATCTTTCGTTTTTCTTTTTTGATAAGTCCTATATAAAATTTTTTTTAAAGATTTACTTATTTGAAAGGCAGTGATAGAGAGAGGTGGAGACTGAGAAAGACTGAGCTCTCTTTGGTTAGCTTGCCATATGGCTGCAATAGTGACATCTAGGCTGGCTGAAGCCAGAAGCTAAGAATTCTATCCTGGTCCTCCACATGGGTGGTGGAGAACAAAGTATTTTGGTCATCTTCCAGGACATTCCCAAGCACATTAGCAGGAAACGAGATGGGGAACAGAGTATCTGCAATTCAAACCAGTGCTCCAATATGGGATGAGGACACCAAAACCAGCACCTTCACCCACTGTGGCAGCGTGTGCGTCCCACCCATTTCTTTTTGACTAACTGGGGCTGGGTGGTGAATGGTGTTTATACTATAAGCTTTATTTATCAATAAATGCAGTCATTAGCAATCACAGAGAATACAAATCTCTCTGTTCTTGGATGGACAAATGATCATGTGTATTATGTGGATCATTAACAACAAAACAAAGCAACTTGACCTTTAAGATAAACTACAAATTGGACCAAGTTTGACTATACTTTACTGACATTCTAATCCTTTTTCCACAGAAAAGGAAAGCTGTACAGAGGTTGTGTGACAATCCAGGGGAAATTTATGACTATTTAACCATAATTGTCAGTTAAATAAACTGCCAAACTTTATATGTGGGCTGATGTTCCCCACCTGTTTAAAAAAATCTTTTAGTAGAATGAGTTAGATGCTTTCTGAGATCCGATCTAACTATATAGTATTGTGATTCAATTTATGATGTTGCTAGGTTTTCAAACTAGTCACTTTCACCTTAAAGTCACAATTTGTTAAAGATATAATCTTTTCTTTTAATTGGAAAGGCGGAAATACAGGGAGGAGAAACAGAGAGGAAGATCTTCCGTCCGATGATTCACTCCCCAAGTGAGCGCAACGGCCGATGCTATGCCGATCCAAAGCCAGGAATCTAAGAACTTCTTCCAGGTCTCCCACGCGGGTGCAGGGTCCCAGAGCTTTGGGCTGTCCTCGACTGCTTTCCCAGGCCACAAGCAGGGAGCTGGAAGGGAAGCGGGGCTGCTGGGATTAGAACCGGCGCCCACGTGGGATCCCGGGCGCATGCAAGGCGAGGACTTTAACGACTACACCATGGCACCAGGCCCTAAAGAGACAATCTTAAGAAATCTTGCAGTTTACAGAGGATTTTCACCAATACGGTCCCGAATTCGGAGTTCCACAAGTTCCCAACATGCTCAAATACCAGAAGTGGTGGCTCATCAGGAACCACTGTAGCACTTCTTCAGGGTGACCAGCCTGCACAGCACCATGCCAGACATAGCTAAGCTAAGGGATCTGTTAAAAGGTAGTCACTTGTAAGTAGAATACTTGATGAAAACATGTTTTGCTATATGAAAGACATGAACACTTCCTTACTACAGGAAAAATTTATATTCACTATTACCTTACAACATTACACTAGTAGCTGAGTTAAATACACTTAACTGACAACTCATGTACAATGCAAGTGGTCTGAATTACTACATATTATTACAAGCAAACCGGAGAATGGGTCTTGCGTTACAGAGTGCTTAGCTGTGAGTCCTTGGAGGCAGGGGCCTTTGCCACCCATGTGGGAGACAAAGTGCTCTGAGCTCCTGGCTGTGGCTATTTGGAGGACATGGGGAGTGAACCAGCCAATGAAAGAAGATAACTGTCTATCTCTGTCTTCCTGCCTCTCGAATAAATAAAATTATAATGAAACTAAAAAATAAGAAACTAGAATTAAAAAAAAAAAAAAACCTACATCAGTTAACACCCATTTTCCAAGGAAACAAAATATTTAAGTAGTTGGCTCATTCTGCTGGCTTAACAAATAAAACACATAATCATTACCTTGCAATAAACATATTTATACTAACAACCTGTTTTAGTATTAGTCACTGATTACTCAAAGATAATCATGAAACAGAAAAATATGGCATGATTCCCAGCTCGGATACATTCTAAATACATCTCCAGCTGTTTCTCACAGCACTGAGACCCAGTGAACGCTGGTAACCCTAAAGTGACCCCGAGGAGGCAAGGAAATTGTGAAACTACATGAAAAGGCTTTTGAGTAAAAAAGACAAAAAACTTTTCAGTATCTAACAACTACATATTTTTAAGTAATACACTAACTGATGAAAGCGTTTTTCAAGCTGATACTGGCAAAATGACTAGGAAAAATCTGATCTTTATTCAAAACGAGTAGGGAAACCTCACAAAAACATCCCTATGGGGCCTGGCGGCGTGGCCTAGTGGCTAAAGTCCTCGCCTTGAACATGCCAGGATCCCATATCGGTGCCAGTTCTAATCCCGGCAGCTCCACTTCACAGCTAGCTCCTTGTTTGTGGCCTGGGAAAGCAGTAGAGGATGACCCAAAGCTTCGGGACCCTGCATCCGCGTGGGAGACTTGGAAGAGGCTCCTGGTTCCTGGCTTCGGATTGACGCAGCACCAGCTTTTGCGGTCACTTAGGGAGTGAATCAGTGGACGGGCGATGTTCCTTTCTGTCTCTCCTC